TTGAAACTTAGGACCGTTCCACGGCCGCGCTAGGAAGCAGAAAACGGTCAGCGCATTGACAGCCACGCACCAATGGAAGTAACTCACGGGAAACTCACGGGAAGAGAGAATCAAATACCACCGGATGCATCAGCTTATTTTAACAGGCCAAGACCTCATAATTGATCAGAGAAAGGCGAGCCTGGAGCGATTCCCTGAACTGCAGGACAGCGTATGTCAGCTCGCGGGCGCCGTTTTCAATCAGACAGCGCAGCTCCAGCATAGACATTCAATACCAGGCACCATACGAGGGGAGAATATATGCACACCGTCCTAGCTTTGGAATGAAAAGAACGTGTGCAATGAAGACTGCATTGGAGAACACAATCCACGCTGCACTGTATCGGTAGCTTGAGTAGCATGCAGTCTCACTGCATTCTGCAATCGAATCTTGCAAATGCACCAAAGCTGGGTGGCGAAACTCTGCGTTTATCAAATGTTTGTGCCATGGGTTCAAAATTGCGGAGAGCCAAATATCTTGCAAAAGTCAATCGTCTTGTTGGCATTTGCAAAATTATTGCCTCGGCTCCCACAGACATAGACAGGTACTGCTTAGTATGAAGCTATATTTTGAGGTTTCACGCTGGAAGGCTTTAGCAGCATTCCAGGGCGCGAGCGTTTGTACAATGATGGGATCAATACAAGCGCGAGCCTGGATGGTGTCAATGTGAAATACGGCCATGCTAGTATTTTCATTTTGGCGTGAGATTGCACCTTTTATTCGACGTAGGATTATGGTTGTATCCCTGAAGGTCCACGTCAGTCTTCCAAGCAGTGGGGAAAAGGGTACATGAAATCTTACCTTGGCACTGTCCATGTCTCAACCTGTGCTCAAATATAGCTCAGCAACAGGCTTTGCAGGGCTTGTATTAGGATCGTAATGGTTGAATGTAGTCTCGGAAGTAGACTTTGCGAACAGGCACTCCGTCACGCTCAGCTTTCAAAGATTATGCTGACACACAAAAGTCAAGAGGCCACTCAGTGCATTCCTGCGGTCCCTGTGAAAAAGCACCGAAGAACCATGAGCTGAAGGAAAGGCATACCTTAATGCTGGCACTGGTGGCGCATTGCATCGGTCCGTATCACCAGTCTTCCAGACCCAATTTTTCAAGGCTATAGCTTGAGTGCATCCGACCCCGTTGCTTCAACATCATCTCGGTACTCATCATGCCATCGGTCGGCACTAGCCAGCCAGCGATGTCCTCCGCCTTTTTCGCCATCTCTCTGAGCTTTCTCATGCTGATTGGTATAGCGAGAGGGTACTGCGACATCACAGTACAGTAATACCGCCCACCATAAGCAAGGTACAGGCTCGTGGGGTCTTTGACAGGGCCTTTCAAGGTGTCGACTATGTTTCTCGTACACCTGGTTCAGTTCTTAGACTGTGTTCATAATCGTTTCATCAATGTGAACCAACCGACGCAGATCAGAAAAAATGTAATTTGTCATTGAGGGAAAGTGTATCAAATCAGCAGCCCGTTGAGGAGGCTGAGGCAGATAATAAGGACCAGTAAAGCTCCAGTTATGTTAGGCTGGAAATAACCCAGGTTTCTGTTTGCCGTACCCTTACATCTGGTTCTCTTGTGTCTTGAGCGTCTCGCGTAAAGAGACAATGGCAAACATCAGATTGTATACTGATGCAAAACCCACCCGCCGTGAGAAGGTGAAGTAACACAGGAGGAGGGGTGCGGAAGTGTACGGCATCCATCATGTTGATCGGGCTTGTTGAATGGGTTTCGTATTCTCCATTTCGGAACTATAAGTCCTCTTTAAGGCCACAAAAGTGATCATCTTTTGAGTAACCTGGCGTCGTAGGTATAAAAGCCGACGCGGCTGTTCATCTGTCGTCGCCTCAAGGTGTTAGATGTGACGTATCGAGATCAAGGATGCCGGGCGAAACAACCATCATGGTACCGGAGAAGATGCTTGATGTACTCCTGATATTTCATGCGCACACAGGGCGTATCGAACTTCGCTTTACCTTGCGGGAACAATGTCAAGATGCCTAGGACATAAGGGGCAGAGATCTGTCAAACGCAGACGCTTTGCACTGGTCATACAGCTACTCAAGGGCGCCCTGGTCTTGTGACTCTCTGACTAGGTTTCCCCGAATGAGAATCCTCAATCCTTTGTACCCGAAAGTGAGGGTAATCCCAACGAGCAATCTCAATTTCGCTCTTTGAGAAAGAGGATATATCCCCGTACATGTATTGTGAACAATTGATTGTCCTCACAGCTTTTCCATGCCTTTTGTTTTGATGTAAGAGGTGGAACAGCAGGTGGAACATGGCACAAGAACGGCGTAGAGAAATTCGGACCACAAGAACCAACTTGAGGGACGCAATGAGATCGCACAGGATGAAAGAAGAATCATAAGTAGGTGAGAAGAAATTGGACATCCCCAGGGCCCAATTTCGAACCGCCGGAAGGGATTTGAGTCGATCATCACGTCAAAAAGACCCAAAGCAAGTTCGTGAATCTCGAGCGTGAACCAAGCCCCACGAGCAATGTCTTGTGCCCGAGAATTAAACACCAACTAGATCAGAAGCATGGGTCACTTGCCAACGCCACGACAGGCTTAAAATGTGATTGACACCAGGGGTTCCAAGCACAATGTCGACCGGACTCTTTGCGATCTCCAGCATCTCAGGAGACGGATACTGCGCAGGACTGAAAAGTCTGATACCTGACCCCTCGCAGAGAGGCAGTACCAAGTTTGCCGTATGAATGGCTTTTCCTTTAGTATCGACCAGATACAGGGTTTTTCTTCGGCCTTGATCGCCCACATGCCGAAGGATACTTCCCAGAAAAATCAAATCAAGAATGAGCAGGAGATATAAGAAAGCCGAACGCTGGTGTGTAAGAGTCCACCTGGGCTCGCACACACAAGTGCCGAGTGGCCTTCTGCTGAGTCTCGAGAAGAATATCAGTTGGAGGGAGAAGATTATCTCAGCTTCCAGAGTTGCGATGTGGTTTTAGTTCTGTGATTACTGGTGTTTGATCTGCGAGCCTGCGCTGCCGTGGCTTGGCACCGCCACACTGAAGCTGACGGCGTCTTTCAGTAGCTCAGCATATCGTCACTTGCTAGGGCATCCACTCTGGTTGCTGTGACAGCTCGCTTGTGTGTTTTGCCATCACTCAAGGCGTTGCTCAGACGAAGCAAGAGCATGCAAGACTCCGTCGACTGACCGAAGGGCTTTGCATTCGACATCCAACTTTGGTGGAGCTCGGTCGCTCCTGCCCCCAACATCTGTGTCTTGGTTGATAACCAGGCGATCTCAAAGCCTTGAAGGCAAGATTGTCAGTCTCATTTTTCTTGGAAAAGAAAGGCTTTGAGTAGCACTTACCTCACTGAGCCTCTCCAAGTTCCTAGGCGGCAAGTCCTGGGTCTCGGAGAGCCATTAGCCGTGTCATAAGGTTGAAACGCCCAGACAAGTCTCGTTGTATCATGAAACGGGAGCTATCTTGTCAGTGAAGATCTGGCTGCCCACGCCGCTGACTTGGAATCTCCTTGAAGGACATCCATTTCGGCCGTAGTCATAGGACCAGCCTCTAGGCTCTGTTGACGAACGTTAGCCTTGATCTGCAGATAGACACATTTGACTCAGCTCAGACCGGGTCAGATGGAGGTAGATATCATGACTTACCAGGAGGCTTCTTCAGAGAGCGAGCATCGCTCATCGCTCTCAACCCTCCCAAGAATGAAGATTGTGAGAGATGAGTATGGCACAGAAGAAGAGTGAACAACTATGGGCGTGGGAAGTTGGAGCAACTTGATGACTTGATAAAAAGAAGTGGGCTGGATAGATGTGGATGTGATAGAAGAAAGTAGGCTTGGCTGAAGTGGGTTTGAGGAAAGAGAAGGGGCTTGGATAGAAGTAACGTGGTATAATAGAAGGAGGTTTGATAGAAAGAAGTGAGTTGAAGATGAAGAACAAGTAAAGAAAGAAGTCAAGCCATGAGATAGACCTCAACCTTGACCAGAGATGGAAGGGTGATCATGAAGTTGAAGAGAGGAAGGATGGTTGTTGGTGGGAGGAAGGAAGAAGGAAAGAAGAGAAAGGGCGAAAAGAAGGAGGAGGAGGTATTTATGCCTGAGGGCGAGCGAGAGCGTAGGCGGGGATTCACCGTCGTTGCGCAATTCACACGCATCAGTGCGGTGATGCTTAACTGCATCGGCAGTATTTCCATTGTCGGGCTGCAGGCGTTATTCACCGCCTTTTAGAGACATTAACCAGACCTTGAGATCATACAATTATTTGGCCGGCCATTGGCGATTCAATGCGCTGCCATGCGGCTCGACACTGGGCCAGTGTGGCTCGGCGCAGGGCCGGGCGCGGCTGGTGAGTCAAGAAGTGGGAGGTGCACAGTTGCCCACCTGGGCGGGAAGAGGCGGGAGCGGGTGGAAATGTTCCTATGTAGCAAACAGTTGTGAAAGATTGTGGCAGCTGCAGTGGGTAGGTGCATGCCTTGAAAGAGGTGGATCTTTCATCTACCTATTCTCTGGGCATTGCTTTCCAGACAAAGGCAGTTTCCAGCTGTACCCTCCAAACCTTCTGAACTATAGTATCTCTCTCTCTCTCTCTGGATTATGTATCTAACATAGAAATAAGTACAAAGAAGCCAAAGTACTGACATGATTATGTTGTGGAGAAAGGGTATAGCACTATCAAAACCGTCCTGCCATAGCTAAGCTTCCCCGGCCAGGGTCAGCGTTCCGGGGGTGGATTCGCCACGCTTTTCTTCCGCAACGACGGGCTTTGCCTACCAAAAACCAGAAAAAAAAAAAAAAAACCCCAAGGTAGACTTCAAGATGGCTCCAATAATTCTCGTTACTAAAAAGCCAAGAATACGCAAAGCACTAACTAAAAAGCCAGCCTTGATCCCAAGCTCTATTACAGAACAGAACCATTTACCCACTTCAGCCCTCCCCTCCAACCCACCTATCCTCCCAAACCTCCCACCCTTTCATCACGCCACAATAGTATAATTACTCGCCGTCGAGCCAACAACAGTCAAATAACCGGCCTAGACAACACAAACTCGTCATCAGCATGCATGTCGCCTGCTACACCCATTCCCCCAAAGAGAAAAAAGAGAAAAAAACCACATACCCCAACAAGATAAGCCCTCGACACCCCGATCTGCGCCGGTCCGGTCACGTCGGGCACCGTGATCGTGAAGTTTTGATACTGATCGTAGAAGCCCGTCTTATACTCCGGGTCATAGGGGCCGGTGTAGAGAACGTATTGCAGGTATTCGTCCGGGGGCGGGCAGGGGCGAGTGTCGGGGCAGGATTGGATGCCGATCGCGATGCCGATTTCCGTCATGGCTTGGATGTAGTCCTGTCATCATTGGATTGTCAATCCAGGATATTCTGTCTGGGTGGGTGAGAGTATGCTGGAAGAAGGCAATGGACAAAAGGAAAAGGGCAGATCATACGCCGCGAGCGACCTGGACGGTGATGGTTTCTCCAACTTGGAGTTCGGTGCCTGCTGCAGGAGAATTGATGAAGATGCCTTGGCCCAGGGCCGTGGTGGCGAAGGCTGCGAGGGCGAGGGTGCTCTTCATGGTCGCTGATCTAGATAGTTGGGTTGTGGTGGATGGTGATGTTGAGAGCCTCTTCTGTGAAATCGATGGACCTTATATAGTGATTCTCGCCTCATATTTCTGATACATCGCGGCATGATATGAAAGCTGCATCAACCTGCTCGATTCAACCAGACCACTCATTTTTATCTCAGATTTGTAGTTCGACGTCAGGCGTAGATGATGTCTCTGCTATATTTATCGATATTGAGGTTGCACGATCCCGTTGGTAGAAGCTCAACGCTGTTGTGAGACATCAGGCGTACCTCTCGTATTTCGGCCAATGCGGGGTGACCTCGTTGATAATTGCTTTTCCAGTTGTAGATCAGGCGTGTCTTACAGCTTTGCTGTCCTAAAAATGCCATCAGACTTGTTCTCATCTCCAAATCCCTCATCAGTGAAATGAAATCATACAGCATAAGCCCTACGCTGAGGAGGGGAGTAATGCGCAAAAAGTACTGCACAATCCCACCTGCCACGCTGAAATATACTTAGAGAAGACTCAGCCTCGCGACCCCAGAAATACTTCAGTGCAGCGGCGATACGAGGTTCTTGGCCAATGCTTGTCTTTGCCAAGTGCTTGGTTGCGGATTGGATGTGAACGTGGTCATCATGTACAATATTTGTGCAGTACAGTACATTTCGGCTTGCGTGTGCTCGGCCAAAAATTAGACTTCCACCACCACCATAGTGACTGGTTCTGACACAAAATAGACCGGGGCAAGATCATTCCTCCAACTCCTGCAGTTGCGCCAATTCCCAGTACTTGCCCCGCCTCTCCATGAGTTTCCGATGCGTCCCGCTTTCGACAATCCGGCCATTCTCGAACACTAAAATTTCATCTGCGTGCATAATTGTCTTCAAGCGATGAGCAACTGCGATGGTTGTCCGACCGGCCATTGCCTCGTGTAGGGCCTGTTGTACTTGATACTCTGAGGACGCATCTAATGCTGAAGTTGCTTCGTCTAGGAGTCTGCTTTCAGTCAGTTCCCTTGCCTAGAACCATGCGGTAGAGCCGAAGCCACGTACAGTAATTTCGGCTGCCACAGCAGGGCTTTTGCAATCGCCATACGTTGACGTTGACCACCTGAGAGGTTGGATCCGTTTGCTATGATGGGTGTGCTGAGTCCTTGGGGAAGGGACAACTACTATGTATTAGTCAAGGTTGCAGTGACCAAGTGGTAGCAGGTACTCACAATGAATCCATCTAACCCCACTTTGGCCAGAACAGCGAGAAGTTCCTCATCAGGGATGACTCTGTTATCACTGTGAAGAGCTTCTCGAAGATCATCGCCCACAAGGCACGGGTTCTGGTCGACGAGGGCGAAGTAATGGTAGTAAGACTCAAGATCATACTCGTCGACCGATGCCTCGCCAAGCGTAATGCTACCAGAGCCAGCAGAATAAAAGCGTTCAAGAAGGTTGATCACAGAGCTTTTCCCACTTCCAGTAGCCCCAACCAGACCGATAAAGTGTCCAGCGCGCGCATCCAGACTGACATCGTTCAAATTCCAGGATCCAGAAGAGCGGGCGGGATACCTGAAGTAAACTTTCCGTAGAGCGACATCTTTCACGGTGCTCGGAGCGGGCATAACACCTTCTGACGGAATCAAGCTCGACTCATGCATCAAGTTTTGCATCCGAGACGCAGCCACCTGCGCGCCCGCAATGTCCGGGGCATGCGCAAAGAGAGTCGACGCCGCCTGGGATCCCCACACAATAGCCGCGAAGCAGACGTAGAATTGCTGTATAGAGTACTCTTCTGTGGCAATGAGATGAACTCCTCCATACCAAAAGACAAAAGCGATGCCCAACACGCGGAAAAATGTCCCGCATGCATAGGCCACGCCGATGAAAATCCAGTATCTCTCTCTCGCGTCTTGCTGGATCTGGGCGGCAAATGCCGCGCTGATGGTGCTCTGCAGCCCGAGGACGGTCACGGTTCGGATCGCGGTAAAAGCCTCATGTGCGATCGCAACTGCATCAGAATTCCTTCTGATGTACCTTTGCACATGCATCACGATAAAATACTGCAGAAATCCTGACGCGGCGATGAACGGGATTATCGCCGTTGAGGCCAATCCTAGCTTCCAACCGAAAGCACACCCGACAACGACCCCGGTGACGAGCATGAACACACTTTCAGCTGTCAACCCAAGGGAGGTCCCAGAAATGCCGATGATCTTCTGCGCATCAGAAGAAAGGACACTGAGAAGGGATCCGGTTGAATGGGCCTCGTCATCAAAGAACGGGAACCCCTTTGAGAGGAGGGATTTGAAAAGGGAAGCACGGGCTCGCATGTGAAGCATGGATGCAGAAGCTGCGAAACAGTATCCCCGACCACAGTATATCGCAAAGACCACAACACCATGAACAAGGTACATCAGAGCCCAGAAACGGGCGGGGTGACCACCCGTGCTTAGCTCAGGGTCAATGATAGAAACAATTCCGTTCCCGAAGAAGATCGCGTGAAGGGGATAGCTCATGCCTGCAAGGATACCAAGAAAAACGCCAGCGACAACATAAAGCAGCTCTGGTTCATTGAGCTTCCAAACAAATCCAACATCACCCCGAAGGACAGGGGCGGATGCAGAGCCATTATGTGGCCTATGAATGATTGCACCCGATTCTGTAACGTCCTTCCAGTCTTCAGTTGACACATCCGCCGAAAACGAGTTTCTCTCATGATGCATCTCTTCCTGAGCTAGAGGCTCCGGCTTCATGCTCTGTTGTCTTACTAAAGCTTGGTACATGTCGCATTTGAGCATCAGTTCTGCGTGTGAGCCTTGATCCTTGATCTGTCCATCGTGCATGACGATAATCTTGTCGGCACGCTGGATCGTAGACAGTCGATGCGCAATCACAATTGTCGTTCTCCCCGTCATCGCTGCATCTAGTGCCTTCTGGACCTCTCTTTCACTCTTGCTATCTAGAGCAGCAGTCGCCTCATCTAGAAGCAGAATAGGGGGCTGGGACACTATCGCCCGAGCAATAGCGATTCGTTGCCTTTGGCCTCCGGACAGACCGGACCCGCAGAAGCCTAGTGCCGTATCGTAACCATCAGGCAAATCGGAAATAAAGGGATGGATCTGAGCAATTTTGGCGGCTTCGATAACCCGCTCCCTAATGACTGCTGCTGTCAGGCTCTACCTAGATCAGCATACGATCTTCCTGGAATAGGGTGAGTTGACAGACCTGTTTCAAAGAGACATGGAGACCATAGGCTATGTTGTCGTGAATTGACCCTCGGAAGAGAGCCACATCCTGATCAACGTATCCCATCTGGGACCTCAACCACGAGATGCTGAGCTCTTCGATGGGTTCATGATCTACCGTTATGCACCCGCTGGATGGTAGATATAGTCGCTCGAGAAGACAGAGCACCGTTGACTTTCCAGATCCTGAAGCACCAACGAATGCCACTGTCTGACCTGGTAGAACGTTGAATCTAACGCAGTGTAATATCGGTCGACTCGGTTGGGACGGATATGTGAAGTTCACACTGTGAAATTCAATACGCCCTTGGAGTGGCTCAATAGTGCGACCTGCAGAGCATGAAGAAACTGATGGTGATCTACACCCAATGACCGAAAAGACTCGACTGACTGCGTTATGAGCCTGGATGATAGCGGGCAAAAAGGGGAGAGCTTGGCTCAGCATTCCTCCGGCCACCGTCATTGCATACAGGATAGTCAACGCTTCTGAGATGGTACATTTCGCTTCATGGACTAAGCGATTTGCTTGCCAAATCTACACATCAGCGTTTGCTAAGAGTTAGTCAAACTAGGTTAAAAGGAAAGGAAGGCCTACATACACCTAATCCATTCGCCCAATGAAGGACAGTGAAAGATCCGGCAACAATGACACCGAAAATGAACCGCTCGCGACGCTCGAGCAGAATGGGAATCCGAATAGTTTCCTGGTACTTATTCGTGTAACGCTCCTGACTTCGGTACGCAAGAACAGCCCTAATAGCTCCGAGCACATCTTGCGCGAGGTTGTCTGCCTTTACCCAGTTCACTTGCCCTTGCCGTTGAGTCCTGCCCATCCAGGATCCAAGCCCTCCTACTACAAGCATCAGAGCCAGGGGCTGGGACAGCATGATGCCGGCAAACCGAGGGTTCTGTGCAAAGGCAATAATGATGGCCACGATGAAGCCGGCGAGTCCGGAGATAAGCATGCCCATTTTCTGGGAAAACCCTTCTTGGATCGTTCTTATGTCGTTGTCGACGCCAGCCGTCAGCTCGCCGGCCCCAACGGCATCGAAGTACTCCAGGTTTTGCTGGAGAGCAGCGGTGAGGTACTCTAACTGTAGTCTCACAGTGATTTTCTCACCTAGGCGATTGAATCCCCACGTGCTACACCAAGTCGATAGAAGGGATCCGATAGCTTCCTAGATCTATCAGCGATGCTCCGCTCCCGCTCGAATAAGCACTCACGGACCGATATATACTAGGCGGAGTGATAGTTGCCTGACCGAGTCTGCAATGGCGTGACTTGTTTCAGCATCATTTGAATTGCCGCTAATGAAGTGCTCGATGAATGATCCGAAAACGAGCTGCACAGGTCAGTTCAAGCTGGTCGCGGTGCACTCTGAGAATATAGGTATCTACCGTCACTAAAGGAAGCGCCGCACCAGCGACCAGCGCGCAGAAAACACATATCGCCAAGCTCCATCTTTCATGAAAAGTAGCATATCTGTAGACCGTGAACAATCCAGCTCTTCTCGATACAGTGTCGAGTTGCCCCTCGATCGCTGTGTCTTGGGTCTCCCGATCCTCGAAAGAGCAACGGGCAATCGGCTGGATGTCATGAAGCAAGATAGCATCAGACATCTGTCTTACCGGTATTGAACCTTCAAAGTCGGCCACTGATGGCTTATTGCGTACAAGTGAACACTAAAACCATCGCTGTTCTCAGTCACGTGAGATGTGAGATTTCACTCAAAAATTTAAATGTAGGAGCTTTGTTGCTTTGGAGGAAACAAGCTCTAAAGGAAGCTGATACGTCACGTTATCTCGGTGTGTTGAAATTCCTGGCAGGAACTCGGCGATGCACATTCCTCAATAAGCGCGCTCCAAGACTCACGGATCACCCAGAATGGCTTGGGCTTCCTAAGCATTAATTGCGCGATGGCTCTTCGCTTCACCCCACCTAACTTAATCAATTCTTGACCAATTTCTACTCTCCTTGCTGTAGTTGACTAAATAATGCACTGTAACCAAGAGAAACAATAGGATGGCTAAGGGCTGATCAAGCCAAATCGGGACGCGAGATTGGCTCTCGTAGAGGCTAGTAAATAAATGCAAGATAGCATCGACCACTGCAGCTGAAGACCGGGTTAAGCCCCACAATGGTCTTAACACCTTGATCTGTCCGCCCCAAAACTATCTTGCTTAGGCGCATGTCGATTCAGCTTCTCCTCTCCTCCAGGCCTGCATAATCAAGTTTTCAAGGGATGGTCCATTTCCATCAAAGCAAAATTCAAGTCTCTGACGATCTTTTCCCAGGCTCCCGCCTGTAAAGTGCACGAAAGCCACCAATTACCCGCGGCGTCTTTCCCCATCACCCTCAGCAGATTTCTTGTTGGGTACCCATCACTATGTTCGATATTACCCACATACGAGGGTCGCCCCAGCGGGTTGGCCCTTTCTGACAGGGGCACTCCTGGTCGGACCACGGCTGGGGAGAAGTCCAGCTCGAAGAACCGAGCCTTGTGATGGTTAGTGCAGGCCATGAACACCAGATTTGAGCCGCCGACGAGCGGGGTTGTCTTTAGCAGCGAGCGGCTTTGGAGGGACGCTAAGGCATGCACCTGCTCCTTGGTCCGGTGGCGGCTCAGCGCCCGACGGTTCTCTTGCGCCAATGTATCAATGTTTCCCTTCATGACATCCGGCACAGAAAGCAGCGTGTAGGAGGGAAAAATGGCGTTGCCAATATAAGCGCTGCCGGTCGGGAACCAGTCATCAAACAAATCCCGAACCTCAAACATGCTCATCGACATGATGGTTTGGTCTGGTGACGGGTCCAATGCATGGGTAACGCTTTTTACCCACCAAGAAAGCAACACGTCACTTTCACTAAGGTAGGAATCGTTGGATTGGGATGATTCCTGCAGCGCCTGCAGTCGCAGTCGTTCCACAAATTGGCCAGGGAGGAGAAGAAGGTGATCTTCTTGACGGTGGAACCAAAGGTCGAACAAGTGGCGGATCCCAAATCCGACCAGCCCAATTCCCTGAAGAACCCGGTCGGCGTGGATGTAGCTTGCCCCTGGAGCTTCACCCCCAAGCGAGGCCAGCGGGTCCTCAGACAGGTCCCGGAAGGGTGGCACATCACCAGGCCGGCCGCGCAAGACGGCTGTCCAGGCTCGCAGGAATGTTGAGCGCCCGACCGCGTCCATCAGCGTATGCGGGTATGTAATCGTCAACAGAGTCGAATCACCAAACAGGATCACATGAACCCTGAGCTGCGGTAGGTCGGATGATATCCAATCCCTTAGTATTTGGGGCGAGCCATCGCCACACACTAAGGGACCGAATTCAGCCGCGCGTGGGGCCAAGAAGGGCGCCTTGGTTGATGAAGTCCGTGGGAGCCGAGATCCTAATGGGTGATCATTGATACTTGTTTCATGTTTTGTCGTTGTGAAGATAAATGCCGGTAGGGCATCATCGTACTGGGTTGGGATATGGTATTCGAGCTTTCCCTTCGACTGAAGAACCCATTAGTGTACAAATACAGCCTCTCAGTCAGGGCCAAAGAAGCCTACGTTCAACCTCAAGCGCGCACCCAGCTGTCCCCAGTTTCCTATCTGAAGCAATTCGTGTAGTGCCTTGCGTAATTTCGTAACATCGAGCACATCGTCAAAGCCAAAGGTGCAGTCATGAACTAAGGCGCGTATGTGTGGAATATCATCCCAGACGCGTAGAGGGATGATTCGGTCTGTGGGAATAGTAGGAGCTTGAGGATGCTCAGAAAGCATTGATCCAAGACCCATTGTCAAGCTGTGTGTAGGACTTCCGCGAAGGATGAGGTTGCCCGTATGTCTCAATTTAGGCCTTATTGAAATCGAGAGGGATGGGTGGAGAGGTGATGGCAGGAGCTAGAAAAGAGGACCGCTTAAGGTAAATAAGTTACAGTACAGGACTTGCCCAACTGGGAAGGCTGCAGCTACCCGGCTACAGATCCTGGATTGATTCTTCGATGAATCGGCGTGTATTTCAATACGTGTGTATCAATAATTTATCAATATGATCACATGTGAAGCAGACAGGACATCAATCTTCCTGAATTAAGCCAGCAAGGCCAGCCATCAATACTATCATAGAACCTCAACTCAACCCAACCAATACACCATTGTCGTTCTCCAGGGTCATCGATATCCTCTCAACCCACGGTCCCGGATTGTAATCTGTTACGTTTGAGAATGTCTGCATTAGACGAGCAACCATGTAAGAAATGACGATCATAGCGTAGCGTTCTATAGAGTCAAGATTGACGGTTAGTGCAGTTGTAGGTTGAAGTCTGGTGCATGAGTACTCACGTCCGGGACAAATTCGAGGGCCCTTGTTAAATGGTATAAACCCGGCGACGTCGGCGCTCAGCTTTTCCCATCGCTCGGGTCGAAATTCCTCGGGGTTTGAGCCGAAGCTGGCCTCCGATCGGTGGCTAGACCAGGAAGAGAAGACGAGGACATCGTCTTTGCGGATCAAAATCGGTTTGCTGCCATCGAGCCCGCCACCGAATGGCAGAACAGTGTGTTTGTTTGCAGTTCGCGCATTCAACGGAGCTGCTGGGAAGAATCGCATACCTGTAGCGAGCTTTCATTAGTGATAGAGTAGGTGAAGAATACTGAGGACATCCTTACTCTCATGGATAACGTATGTGAGGTAAGGAATCTTTGTGAGCTGGTCGTATGTAGGGGGATTATGTCCTATTTCCTCCAAGACAATTTGTCGTAGTTTTGACACTACTCTCTCATGCTGTGACAGAAGGAAGAAGATTCCCGATAATGTAGTAGCAATGCTATCGTTAGCTAGCAAGATACTCAAAGTCTGGTTTGCCAACTGAGCAGCATCTGCTCCTTTTTCATTCAAGCCCTTCATAAAATAGTATCCCTCTGCGTTGTCTTGTGAAATTCCCTTTGCTACTTCCCGCTCCGCATAATCCATAACGAAGCGACGCGCCCTTACACAAGACTGTCGAAACTCAAGTTTCCTCGAAAGATGGCGCAGAGGGCCTCGGAAGCCATCACGAACAATAGTCTCCTTGATGACATGCAAGTCTTCCGCAAAGTGCTTCTTCGCCGGCGCGGGACTGGGATGCAACTTGCCGACCGAGTCACCCAAAGCGAATCCGCTCTGTATATCAATTGCAAGGCTGATGAAACATTCCTGGATATCGAACCTTTGACCATCAGGCGGTACACGCTGAAGGAAGGTCTGGAATTGCTGCTCGAACATTGCAAAGTCACAGATTCTGCGATTATTGGACAGCTGGGTACGCAGCTGGTCGCGCATTACTCGCCAGTCGGGGCCATCTACCGTGAAGATGCCATGTGGTGTTATGGGATTGAACAAGGGGCCACGCAGCTTGGAGCTGTCATAATCCGCAAAGCCCGTTGAGAGTATATGTTTGATGTTGGCAGGATCGCATGTGAAATGAATGCGATAACCCAGAATCTGAGACATATAGGTATTTCCATATCTCTTGAAAAGCTTATCTGTATAGTCGAGTGCAGTCATATGGCGGAAATGGTAGGCGAATTCGAGCAGTTTCGATACACCTAAGAGGTCCAGCCGAGAGGATTTCTCCTTGACCACATTCCCGCACCCGTACTGTTGCTCGAGCGCGTATAAGCTGTGTGCTCGTCGCAGCTTGAACAGCCATATGAGCACAAGAAAGCCTAGTACGGCCAGTGGGAGAGGTCCTGTCGGTATTCCCATGGTGATGCTTGCCTGACTCACAGTCCTCGATCTCGATGCTGGCTCAACAATTCAACCGGCTATTATTCGACAGTCTTTGGCATCTGGGAGGCGTGTAGGAGCACTCGTAAAAGATCAGCGCTAGTTCTTGCAGGTACAAACTCCTATCCTGTCTGATCCCCGCCAAAGCGAAGCAGGGAAATCCAGCATCTTTGGGGGGGGGACCTTCCGCGGTCAATTTGGGAAGGCATGACTCAAGAGATATTAAACATGAACCGAGGCCCCTAGCCTCAGCTGCAAGAGAGATCACAAAAACGAAACAAACTTCCAAGGACAAAAGCTGTCATGGTCAGATGTGATGCATCCTCCTTGACACCCCACACCACTGCACGCCGATCCTGCACTAGCTATGCACGAGAGTAGCGCTAGGAGATTGGCTACCCTTGCAACACCAACCAGCTGAACATTTCACGCTAAGCACTCATCAATCGCACAATGCAATAGTCTACGGAGATAGCATCGACGTGTTGCGGAGACATTTCTTGCTCGCAGCACCAAAGTCTGATCAATCCATTCATTGGCTCATCTTCTTTGGAGCTCATGCATATGCCTCAGGCAAGTAATCCAACAAGTACATGCGCAGTACTTAGACTGTGCAAAGGGTCTAAAGAACCCTTCTCTCTTGCTTGGGTTCTCAGAGTCAGAATCTCCTTCACTTTGAGTCAGTAAACCGACCGCCCATGTACATTTCCATGGAGCATAACCTACCAAGAAAGCATTAAAGCATCAGTGCACTTCCCGTCTTTCATCGTGTCCAAATCCCACTCGTCAATCGAAAGCGATCATAATCAGCAAAGGAAACAGAGACATATCATACAATGTCCAAGACAATGGAACTCGCTTCGCTCGTCAAGGACACACTCGATCAAGCGACCGAGTTCTCTCGGGAAACGGTGCATCCAGACGGTCATTGGTGCGGTGAGCTCAAATCCAACGCAACCATTACGTCCGAATATGTCTTCCTCCGATACGCTTTAGGTCTGGATCTGACGGCCGATGGACCTTCGTATGTCTATTGGCTTCTGTCCGAGCAGAATCCGGATGGCTCCTGGGGTCTGGCTCCAGAGATTCCCGGCGACGTCTCAACCACAACAGAGGCATATCTGGCCTTGAAAATACTAGGAGAAGATATCACCTCTGTGCCCATGCAAAGAGCGAGGACGTTTGTGCTTCAGGCCGGGGGAGTGGCTGCTGTCCGGGTGTTCACGCGTATTTTCTTGGCTACCTTTGGGTTGTTTCCGTGGACTTCGATTCCACAAATTCCGGTAGAGCTCGTCCTTCTGCCCTCTTCGTTGCCAATTAATATATTCAAATTGGCATCATGGGCACGAGGAACAATCGCCCCATTGTTGCTTATTTGCCACCACCAGCCCGTGTATCCGTTGCCAAACGGACAGTCGGCGAGCAACGACTATCTCGACGAATTATGGACGGACAGTACGAATAAAAACGTGCCCTACGGCAAGTCACTTTGGTCCTTGGCGGCAGACCGCGACGCAGCCGGCTTAGCATTCACCGTTGTCGATAAAGTCTTGTATCAGCTCGGGGGATTGCGATCGGTACCGTTCATGCGCACGTATGCTCGCCGCAAGTGTGTTGAATGGATCCTTGACCGACAAGAAACCTCCGGCGATTGGGGTGGAATCTTTCCCCCGATGCACGCGAGTATGTATGCTTTGCTGCTCGAAGGATACCGCCTTGATGACGAGCCGGTGCGTCTCGGGTTCGAAGCTCTGGAACGTTTCGCCTGGCAGGATGAGCAAGGAAAGAGGATCCAGGCCTGCGTGTCTCCAGTCTGGGACACAGCGCTGATGACCGTTGGGCTATGCGACGCCATGTCTACCGACAAGGGACATCTCGAACGAGCGGTGAGCTGGATTCGACGTCGTCAGATCTTTGACCTGCGCGGAGACTGGCGCGTCTACCGTCCGAATCTCGCGCCTGGGGGCTTTAGTTTTGAGTACGACAACACATGGTACCCCGATGTAGACGACACTGCGGCCATTATTCTGGCACAAATCAAACAGGACCCGAAATCGGTATCTTCTTTCTCCGTGGTGCAAGCAACGAAATGGATATTGGGTATGCAGAACCCGGATGGAGGCTGGGCTGCCTTTGATGTTGAGAACGACAAGCTCTTCCTCAACAAGATCCCTTTCAGTGATATGGACAGTCTGTGCGACACCTCCTGCGCCGACATCACAGGTCGCATCCTTGAAGCATTTGGGTTGTTGGTGCGAATCCCCGATAAGAGCAAAACAGTCGTGCATCTCTACCCTCAGCTTCGTCTGGCTTGCCATCGCGCGATCGGCTATTTCGCCTCCACCCAAGAGTCCAATGGAAGCTGGTTTGGTCGATGGGGGTGCAATTATATTTACGGCACTTCCCACGCGCTGTGCGGCCTGGTCTATTTTATCGACGAGGATAAACGCGTTCAGAGAATGGCAGATCTTGCCATACAGTGGTTGAAATCTATCCAGAATGTTGATGGTGGATGGGGCGAGTCATTACTCACGTATAAAGACCCAAATATACTGATCAAGGGGCACAAGTCCACTGCTGCGCAGACTGCGTGGGCGCTGATGGCGCTGTTGGCATATTTGCCGCACACAGATGAGGCGATCGAGCGAGGCGTCAGGTATCTCGTTGAGTCAATGGAAGTTGTCGGCCGGAAGACGGAAGAATGGACGGAGAAAATGTACACGGGAACAGGGTCGGGTAAAGTGCACATGGGAACTTGGACGGATAAAATGTACACGGGAACTGGGTTTCCGAATCATTTTTATCTGGGATACGTGTATTACGCTCATTACTTCCCCGTGATGGCGTTAGGAAGGTATATGCGGAAAGCCTCGGCTCAAGGATGATGCACGCGTGGTACTATTCTGTAGTAGACATGAGGATTTAGCATACCATGAACATAGATACCATTCCAGCTCTTTGCGTGTAGCGGTAGCCTACCTCGGTCCAAAACATGCAGGAGAATTGAGGAGAGATTATCAAGGACAAATCATCCTAATTCCCTACATCAACTGCCAGTCGTGCTTGGTAAAGTGCATCAGAAGGTCGAAGGGCGTGAGGCGAGTGCCGTAGCTTTGAACTCCCGCAAACGTGCACTTTAGAAGGCAGTTGTTGTATTATTGGGCTGCACGGGGTGGATCCAAGTTGTTTTCCTGACCTTACCGTCAGTACAATGTTCTGGGTCGTGTCTTCAAGGCTATTTCATGTTTCGTGGCCAAGGCCATGTGGCCATGATGACGATCTCACCAGTGGCTTGTACTTCCATCCGGGGCATAATCGCTCTCTATATTATTTCAAATGATCAAAGACGTGTCTTGGAGTAAGCAGAAGTATTTCCTCTGCGTCTTTGGGAATACAGACTGATATCCATACAAGTCATCGAGAAGAGAAGAGAGACTGTGTGTCACAGTCCGCTTCCACACCACCTTCTTGCTTCAACCTGATCTCATCACAGCGACTCATCTGCGACTCAGTTGTTAATCTGCGCTTTGTCCAGCGTGCGAGTGAAACTGGAGGGTTGTCTGCGTTGACATATAGTCAAGATGAAAGATCTTTGGTTCCATTCTGCGGCGGAGAGAATCGACCAGAAGTTAGCAAGCAGCTCATATAGGATTCCTGATTGCATATTCGAGTACTGTCTGTACAGGTGTATGTGAAGAAACAAACAATTGCTTTGGTTACGACAGTGTCGCTTCAGATATGTTCCTAATCCCCAAGGAGAGACAAATTGGGGAGATTCATGACAAAGTCAAAGATTAGGGTCAACGCTTGATGGGAGTGCGGATGAAGTGCGGATGAAGTGAGGACCAGGTGAGGATCAAGGCACTGTCGAGAAGATGTCATAGCAAACTGCGCGAAGCTTCAAAGAAGAAGTTGAGTCGTTTGCAAAGCATGCCTGACCTGGTGTTTACCGTGCCTGAGGCTACGAGGCTGGAAATGTGATAGTAACACACCAGAACCCAGTCTATCATCCCTCCTCTTCTTCAACCTACGCGACACCAGTGACTACACATTACTCATCAGAAGTACTCATTACCCCTGTCACCGATGAAAGAGCTTTGATTGTCCTCAGCTCACCTCTCATTACAACCTGAATCTTGTCCTTGCAAAGCCATCGAGTCTCTGTCCACGCTGCCAGCAATTCTCACAAACACATCTCCTCACCGCGCCTCACAGCTACAATGACTCCAAATACCTTCCTACAGTTTGTAAAGCTTCCCACTGAGCTCCGCAGCATGATCTGGAAAGTTGCGCTCCCCGAAAAGCCAATCGGGCCGTTCTTGTACTCCTACAAGCCGGGATACTGGAGCCCTCGACGACTGTCAGCAATCGGAGACCGGTGTCATTACTCTGATTTAGCGCATAGATTGGTCGACCCCGTCAAGTTCTCGATGCCACTTCTGCTCGTCAATCGTCAAGCCCGCGCCATCGCAGAATCCTGAATGGACGACAACGGCGTGCAGACCCGCTACTACAAGGACACCGAATCGCTTGTCTCTGTCTGTGCCTTTCATCCCCAGCACGAAGCGCTCTATGTTCCCTCCTAGAACTAGGAGCCTTTTCTAGACGAGATGAGAAGCCTCTATCACAGGGGTTATGAGTTGCAGCGCCTAGCAGATCTCCTCTTGGGGTCCAACGCCTGGCGGTTCCACTCAGCGTTCTCCAGTCTCACGAAGACACGTTTTCTTGCGTTGTTAACATTTGCCCGTTCATTAAAAGGATTTTTGTGGTCGCGAATTTGCAACCGGTTTTGCTATTCGCTGGAGGCGACGACAGCAACCTGCATTCGCGTTGGGAGCTAAGAAAGACAGAGGTTGCTAGGCTCTGGGGTCCTGGACTCGACAGATTTTGGTGCGGGTTTACTCGTGGTGATAGACCGTGGGGTTACGTCGCCGACTTGATTGACAGAGGAGCGGACAGTCTACAAGAGATATTTGAGGACTAGGACCCGGAACGGCGTGAGGGAAAACGCTTTGTATTGCGGGCTATCTATGCAGTCAGAAATGAGCATCAATAAAGAAGTTGCCATTAGTTTGACGTGTGTCGGGAGCTGGAACTCGAATTTGTCACGAAGGAATAGGGTCTGTTTACTGACAACGAGATGAGGGCGACATGTACCAATGTGATCTCGAGTATTCAGAGCCAAGTGATTCTTCTAGCATAAGGATGCAATGTTCTTAGATTGAAGATATGTTTAAGCGAGGAAAACATCCCGCAAGCCTACTGTCACCAGCAAAAAGAAATCAACACCCCCCCGTAGCACTCGACCCAACACAGACCTCACCTGTACAATTGAAACCCAGCGTCCCCTCCACATTCCCACACAGATAATCATCCGCAGCGGTCGAGCTCCCCGTGACCCGCAGACTCACATCCTCGACCGTGATTTTCTCGCACGGGGCCACCGCACTGCACTGAAAGCTGATAACATCCGTCGAAGGCAGCGTGCCCGAAACATCACTGAAGTACAGATCTCGGACCTGGAACTTGGAGTTGGTGCAGTTTCCCGAAGCGCCCGAGAAGGTGGTGCATTGCGATACGGTGAACGGGGTGCCCTTGAGGTTGTTGAGCGACAGGTTCGTCGCCGTGACGTCGGAGATATCTGGCAATGGTTAGTTATCAATACAAGCTCACAATGAGAAGGAAAATGAAGGAGAGGCACGAGACATACACCCCAGACCGCCACCCCCGCCGTTTGGCGGGTATCCTACTTGATCCCCGGTCCAAGTCTTGACATATACAGCATGCGTGGTCTTCTGGTACGTGCAATTGGAGACGCGAACGCTCTCTACTGTTTCAAATTCGTTCAGGTACTGCCCGATGCTGCCGATTGAGATGCCCAGGCCAGTGGAGAAGGTTGAGTCGGCGATGGTGATGTCAGTGGAGTTGCCTTTCAGACTGATGCTGTCGTCACCGTTGACAACCTGCCAGTTGGTGAAGGTGATTCCGTTGCTTCGGATTGTGTTGGCTCCGTCAGTGTTCCCTATTATCGTTAGTTGATGAGCACCTGACTTGATAGAAGGATAACCATACTAGAGGAGCCGCCATTATCGTTGAGGTTGTTAACATAGATCGAATCGAATAGCAGGTTCTCGGAGTAGATTATGGACATTGTCCTATCCAGTCAGTCTTGATCATTGGCCTGCGAGGTTTTCTGGTGAAAAACATACCACATCTGACTTTGCACAAATCTCAAACCCTTGAAGGTCGAGTCTTGTGCTGTGACGGTCAACTGATGCGGTCGGCGAGGGTAGTTCGACACGCCGGAGGTATAGCTATACCACACCGGTCCACTGCCATTAAATGTCCCGTAGCCGTGACCGTCGAAGACAATATCCTTACCACCCAGGATCCAAGCAGTGGATTGGTTCTGGTAGCCGACGTCCAGGGAGTTGGCAAGCCAGTAGCTTATATTTGTGCTCCACTGTGAAGCTGGTTAGTGATTACCATGGATAAGGTGAGAAATGCCTACCAGAAGAGTTCCGTGGAGGTCAATCTCGACATCATTCAGCCAGGTCGTGTTCATCACCGAGTTGATGTGGTAGGTAGTATTACTGAAGCTCACCCGCCCACCATTACCGCAGGTTGTCAGAGCATCGAGGATGGCCGGCACATCATCGACGGCTGTCGAATTTGCGGCCGGGACAACACAGGTTGCTCGTGCACGTCCACTCTTAGTGGTATCTGACAGACCAAGTGTGGGTGCGATCAGAAAGACAATTCCAGCAATGTAGGTTAGCGCACGGGACAACATCCTGAGCTTCATGGAATGGAGTTGATTTTGTTTGCCAAACACATGAGTTGTAAGGGCAGGAAACTCAAGGTGCTTTATAGCTCATGAACCAACCATTATGTTTTTGTACCTACCTAGTATACTTCACATACTGAGTCGGTGTTGAACATCGAGGTCGTCACGCTAACCCCTCAGACTCCGGGGTAATTCCACCCGACCCTGTTAAAACTTGGTTCCGTGATAGGCGCAATTTGAGACCCAGTTTCTCCACGATCTACAGCGCCAATAGTATTGACGCGAGCATTCCCCAGTTTCCTCGGTACGTCCAGGGCTGCTGACGCTGCACCCTTGACGGAATTTAAGGTAATTCGTGGGGTTGATGGGGCCGTGCCTGGGTCCTGCATAAGCGACTGCCAGACATGGACGGGGTGCAGCTCTTGGCATGCTGGGCATGAGCTGACGATCCCACCTGAATTTAAGTTCCATTTTGTCTCTAGATGTCTTGTTCATTCCGGATTTCTCGATTTATTCGGACGCACTGTGAGCCTTGCAGAAGAAGGGTTGTCATAAGTGTCTCGATGGAACATGTTGCTAAAAATGAAGAGTCTTGGTCAGAAATGGCAAGGGGCTTACTGCGATCTATCTTCCTACTTTAGGCATCTGAAGGGGCCATTTGAAGTTTCCAATGCATGCACTGCAGGAGAGAGGTGAAGTGGGTCTCCAAAATGGCTGACAGCGACTCCGCAACGTTACATGGAACTATCTCCACTGGAGCCCTTTGACAGATACATTGGAAGGTTCTTCAGCCTTGCATGTTACTGCGGGGAGTACAGTCCACGGGACATGCAACAAACATAGCAAGAATAAAATTCAACAGTAGCTTTACTCAAGTCGTAAATCCAGCAGTTCAGGGTTACTTCTCCACTCATGCGAAAACAGTCATCACAAAATGTCCGCAGGCTTCGTCTAACATTCGATTCTGCAGACTGGGCAAAAAAGATACTCATGCTACAAAGTGAATCGGAAGATCCTGCTGCTCCTCTCGACGGGAAGCGCATTAGGTCTTCTTTACTGACCACACTTTTCCCCATATAAACATATCCTTCTCTTGATATTCCCAACAATCCAGATATTATAGACACAAATATATTCCACATCGAAATCCATTCTATCTGCAATACATCAATCATGACTCACCACCAACCATAATCCCACGATGAGCGGTGAACCAGGACACCAAGCCTCCGCTATCTCGGCAGGGTCTGCACTAAAATCCCATGAACAAATCATACGATATCTCCATCAGAACCCTATCCCACCACGGACCGCGGAGAAAGCGAAGCACATCAAAAAGCGGATCTCGTCCGAGCCCCCAACACTATCAAACCACCAACCAGACCGCCGGAAATTATCAGCCGGCGGGGCCCAAAAACCCGGTATCGGCTCCGAATCATTATCTGATCGGCAACCGCCGTCCATCTAGCTCTGATTAGGGCCGGCCGCGACAGCGCCAGGCCCCGCCTGAAGATACGGAGGGAAAAAATTCTTAAAGATGCTGACTCGCACTCGGATGTACTGACGAGGACTGCATCCTGGTTCAACACGTACACTGAAAATGTCACTCGATCCATCAACAATAGCAGGGGCCGATACCCAGGCTCCAGCGGTCTCCACCGTCAAAGAAGGCGAAGCGGTGATCGCAGACCGTGAACTAGAAAGCGGCCCACAGAAGCCGTACCGGCCCAACAGATGGCAGAGCAATCTGACTATCATCAGCTGCGTACGTCCGATGCTCTTTCCACCATATGCAAATGCCTTCTAATGTTGTGAGTGATAGTACATCGCCAACTTCAGCGACGGGTTCCAGAACCAACTGGCCAACCCCACCAATGTCATGTTCACCCACCTGCTGGGGAAATCGGGCTACCCGGCCGAGATGAAGACGCGGATCAGCAACTCGCTGATCATCGGGGCCATCCTGGGGGTGCTGGCGCTGGGGTACATCTCCGACATGATCTCCCGCCGCGCGGGGCTGCTCTTCACCTCGGGGCTGGTGACGGTCAGCACCCTGATGGCGGCCGTGGCGCTGGACGTGCACCCCTCCCCCAATATGCTGTGGTACTTCGTCATCGTGCGGGGGATCTGTGGTTTTGGTGTGGGAGGTGAATATCCTCCTAGCGCTGCTGCCGGCCTGGAGGAATCCGACGACGTGAGTTCGCCTTCACCCCTGCAACGAAACCAGCAAAAACAGGCAATAGGCATCGGAACTAACCACGACACAGTTCAACCGCCGCTACCGCGGCCCAGTCTTCGTCTCCTTCACGACCCTAATGGCGACACTAGCCTCCCCAATCTTAATGATCATCTACCTAATCACGCTCAAAGCGAGCAACAACAACCTCCCCGTGACGTTCCACGCGATCTACGCGATCGCGACCATCATCCCAGCAACAATCATGGTGCTCCGCTTCTTCATGACGGACTCGACCCTGTACCACAACAGCAACTTCAAGCGGCAGCGCAAGCCGCTCCGGTTCTACTACCTGCTGGCGCGGCGCTACTGGCGGCGGCTGGCGCTGACCTCGCTGGCGTTCTTCCTGTACGACTTCATCAACTTCCCCAACAGCATCATGTCGAGCAGCATCATCTCCTCCATGGTCAAAGACGGCGACCTGCAGACGACCGCCGTTTGGCAGGTCATCCTGGCGGTGCTGCCGGTGCCGGGCGTGGTGGTGGGCGCGTACCTGACGAACGCGATCGGGCGGCGCTGGACGGGCATCGCCGGGTTCGCGGGATATGTGGTGCTGGGGTTCATTATCGGTGGGTGTTATACGTTGTTGTCACGGCATATCGCCGCGTTCGTCGTGCTGTATGGTCTGCTGCAGGCGTTCGGGCACATGGGCCCCGGCGCGACCATCGGGTTGATCAGTAGCGAGTCGTTCCCCACGGCCATGCGCGGGATGGGGTACAGTATCGCGACGGCGTTTGGGCGCACCGGCGCTGCGGTCGGCACGGAGTGTTTCACCCCATTGCAGACGGCTGCGGGTGATAGTGCTACGTTCTATCTGCTGGCGGGTGTGGCCGTACTGGGGATGGTCGTGTATTGGTTTCTGCCGGAGAGCGGGGAGTTGGATCTCGAGGCGGAGGATCGCGAGTTGGAGAGGTATATGGGGATGCATGGGTTTATGATGGAGAAGAGTCAGTAGTGGGGGGGGGGGGGGGGGGGGGGAGAAAAAAAAAAAAAAAAAAAAAAAAAAAAAAAAAAAAAAACATGAGCGAGGTTACGATAAATGATGCAACTTATGATTATGAGAGATGCTACAGGCGATAACAGTAGAACGTATGCAGTTGATATACAGCCATTGTCGCATTTTTGCTGAGGATAATACAGCAACTCAGAGCTCCAACGAAGAATCACAACAATCATCCATGCATCCATGACATCCATCCCGAAACAAAACAGGAAACGAGCAAAATGGTATCTGAGATATATCGAAGCTATTCAGGGTATTGTTTCGCATCGCCTAGACCTCCCACAGCCGATCAGTACAGTCCACCGATAAGGAAGAAAGTCAGGGAAGTGAGCTTACCACGAGATTTCCTGAACTGCCCCAACTCACCACCTCCTTCCCCCACGCCCTCCAAACCCACCTCCACCGCCACGGCGACGGCCACCACCACCACCCCATCCGCCAGGGCCCCCGAACCCCCCACCACCACCATGGTAATAATGGCGCCCTCCCCCAAATCCACCACCGCCCATAGGCATTCCCCCACCGCCATATACTACAACAGGCCGGACTGGCGGACCCCCCATCATCATACCTCCGCCGCGACGCCGGCGGCTCCCCATGAGAGACATGCAGGTTCCCATTCTTGTTTCTTGGTGGTAGTGGTGCTAGAAGTAGGTATGTATCGCGATTCGTCTAGTAGCGGGGTAAGAGGAGGCAAAGTATCTCGTACGTAAAGTCTTGCGGGTAGAAGTCTATTGACGTGTGGAGTATAATTTTAGCTGGTCGAAGGACAATCTTGTGACGAGAATAGATCACAAGGCAATGAAGTGTAGTATATTGCCTATCAACAGGAGAACAAAAACCTCCGAGGTTAAATACGCAAACTCCCAAGGGCAAAAGAGAGTATTACGCACGGCCTGGTTCCTGGGCATGCGAAGTCGTTGCGTCATCGGCGCGGCGCAGTCCCAGGCGATACTCGGGGTTGGTGAAGTGCGGGTGACATCAGCGGGACGGTTTAGTCGCCCTGTAGGGCTGGGCTGGCGCGGGCTTTAGTCCGGTTAACCTTATTATCTACATACGTAAGGACGGGAGAGAGTCGAAATTGGAACAATGTAGAAGGAAAATGGAAAGAAGATTCCTCCGGTAAGGTAAGGTGCGATACGATACTAGTAGATGTACTTGAACTCCAACTCCGCATCCCCGGATTGCACCCGCCGCCGGTCCTCCATCTTCCCTTCCAAGATCTCCGCCTTGACCCGGTTCTCCCGCCGCAGATACAGCGCATGCGCCGTCACCACCCCCTGCGCAACGACCAACGCACCCATCGAGAACGAGTTGCCCAGCACGTACGGCGATGACCGGTACACCTGGCCCGCCACGATGCCCGCGCAGTTGCCGACCGTCTGCTGGAGGCCGACGGCCAGCGCGCGCCGGTACTGCGGGGCGAAGTTCACGTTCAGCCACGCCACGTTCAGCCCGACCCCCGTGTACACCGCCACGCCGCAGAGGTAGGTGGCGAAGTACTTGACCGGGTCGGAGGAGACGGCCAGCAGCAGGATGTAGCCCACGATTCCGAAGATGTTGGTTCCGACGATGAACTGTTCGACGGCATCTGGTCAGTCACTTATCGAAGAATCAAAGTGGGGGGCGGGAGGCATACGACAGCGAATTTCGAGTATCGATCCGCGAAGAACGCGACCGTGACAGATACTGCGGCGGCCCAGAGGTACACCGGGACGGTGAGCACGTTGCTCATCAAGGAGTTGTAGCCCAGACTGCCGAGGATGGTCGGTAAAAACGTGCTAAACCCGTACAGCAGGATGTCTTGACAGAATTGAGTGATGGCGCTGAAGATCAGCTTGGGGTCCCGTAGGGCCAGTCGCATCTCCTCCCAGCTGAAGTGGTCGCTTCCCATGTATTTTTGGCGCTGAGCGTTGCGGACGCGCATCATGTACCGCTCTTCCTCGGTGAGAAAGTAAGCGGTCGTCGGGTCGTTTGGGAGGCCAAACCAGATGAGCAGCGCACAGATGATGCTGAAGAGGCCCTCGATAATATACACCCATCTATTTTATTAGGCTGTCAGTTGCGTCACATCAGGGTTAAAAGGACAATGTAACAGGGAAAAATACCTCCATCCAGCTTTCCCGGCAACACCGTCCATGTGTAGTAATGCGTAAGCTAGCAAACCCCCAACTGCACCAGAAATGGCAGCGCAGCTCATCAGGTACGAGACTCGCTTAGCTTGCTCCTCGCGCCGGTAGATCATGGTCAGGTACAGATTCAGGCATGGGAAAAGGCCCGCTTCACAGGCGCCGAGGATGAGACGGGTGGCGTAGAGAGAGGCGACATTATGAATAAAGCCGGTGAAGACGGTGGTGATGGACCAGACGATGCACAGGCCCGTGAGGATGTTGCGGGGGGTCAGCTTCTTCATCGCGACTGCCCATGGCGACTCAAGCAGGACGTAAGTAGCGTAGAAGATCGAGACAGCGATAGAGAACTCATTGGTTGAGGCCCCGATGTCCTCGGGCATTCCGGCTACTTTGACATTGCCTGGGGACGATCAGCATGATGAACACTTGAGCTTGAGACAGCACATACCAATGTTGCTCCGGTCGAGGAAACAGGACAAATAGGTCAACATGATGATAGGCACGAAAGCAAAGTCCAGCTTCAGGAGAAGCTTCTTCTCCTTGACTGGGTCAAGCACCACATCGTCGATGTCGCCCAAATCGGTCTCCTCGGTGGTGTTCTGCGGGGGCGGTTTCTGGACCGTCTGTTTACGGTCCAGAGGGATATCGGCCGCGCGTTCGAAGGACATTGGTGCCACAGATGGGGAGAGATTGATGATTCCAGAAAGCTGTCACTTAGACCTAGAACACTCAAGGGGGGAAGCGCCAGGAGCGACATTAAGAACCGTGGAAACAGCAAAGGTTCTGTTACTTGTCAGAGTGACATAGATCCCCGGCGATAAGGAAGGGGAAGAGGGGAGTCTCCAAACCGGCTATCTCCAACCCCGTACGCCAATCACCGGCAATTGACAAAAAGCATTCACCATAGTTACATCTGCATCGGCCCGATAGTCTGATAAGCGGTGGACATAGGGAGGCTGTCATTGGTGCAGTGCCTCGAGTCGATGGGGAGTTGATGCGGGGATCGACTGATGCTTATCATCGCCATCCCGCATATCGGAGCCCACATGCCGATACCACTGATATGGGGTATTCACCCTTCAATATGGCCATCAAAGGAGTTGCATAACATCATATGAATAGCAGAACTCTACACAGACCCCTCAACCAACAATCCTAAGTTCTGCTCACAAACGACAGCACAATGACCAAAGACACGCTCCTCAACCCACCCGGCCTGCAACCCAGCGCCATCACCGAACCCTCAAAAACAACCACCAGACTCCCAAGCCACCAAACCCGCCTCGCCAGCCGCCACAACCTAACCACGAATACCTCCGGCCTAGCCCCCGGCTACCTGCAAGCCAACCTCCTGATCCTCCCCGCCCGCTACAGCCAAGACTTCCACCAACTCTGCCTCCGCAACCCCGTCGCCTGCCCATTACTGGGAATCTCCCACCAACCAGGCAACCCTCACCACATCCAGCCCGAAGGCTGTATCACCACCCCGACGGACTTCGACGTCCGCACCGACTGCCCCCTATACCGCGTCTACAAGCACGGCAAACCCATCGCCACGCACCAGAGGAATCTACTCCCGTTCTGGCCGGACCCAACCCCGACCCCAACCCCCACCACGCTCTCTCCACAACACGGAAACACCGAAAGGGAAGAATATGTATCCTTCCTAATCGGATGCTCCTACTCCTTCGAATCCGCCCTCACCGCCGCAACCCTCACTCCGCGCCACCAAGTTACTGGCGGCCTCGTGCCCATGTACCGAACCACCCTCCCGCTCCTCCCCGCGGGCATCTTCACGGGCGCGCGCACCGTCGTCTCCATGCGGCCGTACCCCGGCCACGCCGTGGAGCGGGTCCGCACCGTCACGCGGCCGTTCCTGGCCACCCACGGGGAGCCGGTCGATTGGGGGTGGGAGGCGCTCGCCCGGTTGGGGATTGCGGATCTGCAGGCGCCGGACTTTGGGGAGCCTGTGTCGGTGGAAGAGGGGGAGGTTCCGGTTTTTTGGGTACGTTGTTTCCTGATTGCAAGTTTGTGTTACGTTATGCCCCCGGGGAAAGGGGAATGTGCGGGGGATGTGGGGCCTGCACGGGCTAGGGAAGTTTGTTTGCGGTTCAGGTTGGGGGTTTTCTTGCTAATTTGGTGATGTCAATAGGCTTGTGGGGTTACGCCGCAGTTGGCGGTGGAGGCTGCCGGGGATAAGATTGAGGGGTTGGTGTTTGCACATGAGCCGGGCCATATGTTGGTTACGGATTGGAGGGAGGAGGATTTGGTGCGGTTGGGGCGGGGTCTTGGGGTCTGAGGAGGGTGGGTAGTTGTAGAGGTGGGTTGAGTGGGAAGATTATGCTGGTCCTTCAGGAAATACCATGCTTATGACAGATGAGGGAAGATTCGTTCAATGACATGACTAAATCACTATAACACATTTATCAGTCCATCTCATATACTAGCAACATTACCGCCACCGTCAACCACCGTTTGGTCCACACCCATCACTCCTCCCATCATTATGCATCGCAACCACGGCCGTTACACCAGCAGGTTATGTACTTCATTCCCCAATTCTCACGCCGTACACGACAATCTCACTTCTTCCTCTCCTCCCCGGTAGTCCCCAGCTCCTCCTCGATCTCCAAACTAAACCTCGCAAATTGGCTCCGAGCCCGGATCTGCTCACCATAGCACATGAACAACACGGGCACGGCACAGAATACAGTCGCCAGGGCCGCCAGCACCGAAACCGCAACATTGGCCCCCAGCCCATCGAACATCTGCCGGGTGAACAGCGGGAACGCCCCGGAGGTCATCGCCCTCAGGAACTGGATGGCTGCCGTTCCGCTCGCTGCATAGCTCAGATAACTGTCGGACAGATACCCGTATAGCACGGTGTCGAACTCGTTGAGCGCAAACCCGATCATGACGAGGGCGATGGTCGGCACGATCCAGGGCAGATCGGTGACGCGCGGCGGGATCGTCCAGGCAAACCACCAGAGCGCCAAGGCGAAGACGGGCGCCCCAATCACCAGCCCGTACAGTTTGTCTTCGGGCTTCACAGGCTGCTTGGCGGCCTTGCGGGCGTCGAAGATGCGATGATCCAGAAAGCGCGTGAAGGTGCTGAAGACTACCCCGACTCCGATCGCCACGAAAGCCAGGCACGACTGGGCCGAGGTGTAGCCCATTGACTCGTAGATAGGCTGCAGGGCTTCGGTGAAGATATAGACCAGGGCAAAGGAGAAAGCAATCATGGTGGCGACGATGAAGATGAGCAGCTCGCCAAAGAAGAGCTGCAGGGGGCGGAACAAGGAAACGCGGACGAAGGTTCGGAAATCCGGAGTGTGGTCGGGATTGAGTGGCTGAAGGGTCTCGTTGCCGGTCTCGTGCCGGATTCGCGCGACTTCGCGGGAGAGGAGGAGGGATGGACGGGATTCTTTGATGACAAGAAAGAGCGCGGTAAGGACGGCGAATATGATGGCGTAGATGTAGAATAACCAGCGCCTAGAATGATTGAGGATGTCAGTCAATAGTGCTACAGGTGCAATGCAAACGCCGGAACATACCACTCCATGTGAGCAGAGATGTATGTACTCATGATAGGGCCAAGCAGTAAGCCGACGTTGGACGCAATCGTCCATATAAATATCACCCATATCCTGGCCCGCGAATCGAACATCTCCTCAATGCTGCCGCCCCCAACAGTGTAGGGCACCGCTGAGAGACATCCCGCAATGATACGCGCCGGAATCACCGCACCCAGCGAATGCGTCATCCCAATAACCAAGCAGCATACCGCACTTCCCGCAGAACTGATAATGTAGAGGTTTTTGCGGCCAAAGGACTCCGACCAGGGTGGAAATATGATAGCTCCGAATATCTGACCCACGAGAAATCTGTCTTGTCAGTATCGTTGAGGTAGGTCCGGCACTGGAAAAAATCCCTTACAGTGTCACGAAGATAAACGTTGCAAGCGTATTCCCGAGGTGGTAGTCAACTTGGGCCTTTTGAGCCGCCAATGTCTAGACACGTTAGAAACGCCCGATAATACACAACGAGACAGGGGGTCGGGGAATTACTCCGGCTGTGCTTGTAGCAGTCCTGGTAGCTGTTAGCGTTTGTCCTTCCTTTATTGCGCATACATAGCGGTAGCCATACGTGAATGTATCCAGAAGAAAGATGATACTGCTGTCAAAGGTCTTCCGGCTGGTCGGCCAGTTGCGAGGCTGCTTTCTGTTATACTTGCCCCAGCGGACGTACTGGCCGTCGGCTGTGAGCTCAAGTTGGTTCTTGAGCAAGTACTCATCCATCGCAACATGTTCAGAAGCCATGGTCGTCGATTTTGCCTTCATTGTATTGGAGGTTATTGCCTGGGGAAAGCTTCCTAGGCCAGGGAATCATATAGATAGACCTTTCACGGGGGGATATTCCGGGCCATGCCTGGTGGAGGCTATAGCAGCTACCGCATTTCTCACAGCCAGCCATGCTGGAAAGATCGACACAACTGCCAAGTCGACCCCCCCTTGTTGGTGATGCTGGACGTCATGACCGCGTGTATCTTCCGAGGCCAAGATGATGTGATAGGCCACGCCTGTTGTGACCGCAGAGGGAAATCGTCCTCCTGAGATTGAGGAGCCAGGTGATCATCATGGAGCTTTCGAAGAAGTTGCTCTTGAAGGTCGACTAAGCTTGTTCGTGACTTGTAGGGGGGAGCAAGGGATAAGTGGCCGACGTCTGATATGCAGGGCAATAGTCGATGCGACCATCTTCTTCCATAGATCATATGAAGTGTGTCTTTGATGTAGCTCTGGGGAATGCCCCGTCTCTCAAGCCTGACAAAGCATTCTCAGAGATACAGCATCCTGATCGGAGCTTATCATCGATAGATGTTGTATCTTCACCTCTCAGGTGAAGTAGTAAAAGTAACGGGTTGAGAAATCGGCGGAAGTGGAAGAACATTCCACGCCGGACGATGCCTGGGGCTCCCTTCCCTCTTTAGCTTCCTCCAATGCAAGGGGTGCATGAAGATGACGAATAAGGCGCGTACAATGCGTCTGCTCGGAGAATTTTCTATTGCCATATCCAGGCAGTCTCTCCTATAGTTTCCTTGAATCAGCTTCTCATGCATGGCTTGCCTATCCCTTGCCCCATAATCTTTTTCCCAGGTGACCTTATTTGCCCGTGAACCCGCCAGACGCACGATCACTTGCAATTTTCGCATTGTGTGCATAGCATGAGATAATGATTTATGATTTACAGACCCGTGAAATAAATGTGGGAACTGAAACGTTTGCGACTTGGTCATTTAGAATTCTCCATGTCCGTTGCGATTACGCTTTTTGTTCGTCAGCCTCCATTACAGAGAGCTACTATCTACACTCGATAGCCAAGACCTCGACTGAAGTGTTATATTCTACGTGGAGGCACCATCCCTCCAGCGTGCATGCTTTCACAAGTCAATAGACGATAGCGATTCAACTGTACGAGCTAGGGATTTGCTCTCTTCCGGAAACCAGATTGGCCAGTACAGATTTATCATGCTACAAACAGGCCCAACATCCAAACCTTGGACAAACCCGATTCTCCGAAGACGGAGATACCGAGCCCGAACCCCGTGTCCGCCCCGAGACTCGTCTCCGTTCACCAAGTCTACCTTTCAAACAATAAATCCTGGGGCCTACATCATCCAGCCTATGAGCGCTCACCTCGTATAGCCCCCCTGCACACACAACCAATCACTAGGCTGAACCATGGAGCCCCCGATCTCCGCATCGGATCAGATAAGATGTCCGGTCACAACAGTAGGGGGTAGAATGGTAGTAGATCAGGTCATTCAGAGCAATTTAATCCTTCAGTCCAGTACTCTTAGACCGTGGAGACCGTACATATACGTCGATTCACCCAGGTCATCGCCCCCAAAGACAACAAGGGGGGAAACTTGAGTTCACAGTCATCCACCACGCACAGAAAAATCAACAACGCACAGATATCCCCAAACAAAGACCTAAAAAAAAAAGGAAAAAAAAAAACACCACCACACCCTGGCACTGGCAAAAATGCTCCCCAGCCTCCTCCTCATCCTCAAAACCCTCCACCTAACCCTTACACAACTGACCACCCACATCACTCTCGCGCTCGCCCCGCGCCTCCACCGCCTAACCTATCGCACCGTCAGGGACCCGAAGAACATTGTCGTGATTGGCGCCTCCTTCGCCGGCTACCACGCCGCTCGGGCTCTCGCCTCCACCCTCCCGACAGGCTACCGCGTCGTTGTCATCGAGCGGAACTCCCACTTCCAGCTCGCGTGGGTCCTGCCCCGGTTCTGTGTTGTGGCCGGCCACGAACAGAAGGCTTTCATCCCTTACGGGGGGTATCTTGCGCCTGTGGTGGAGGGGGCGTTTAATTGGGTTACTGGGGCGGTGGGGAGGATTGTTCTTGCGACTGGTCCAGGAGGGGGAAAAGTCGTGCTGGAGGAGTCAGGCGAGGAGATTCCGTTTGAGTATTTGCTCGTGGCAACGGGGGCGGTGGCTGCGGGTTTACCGTCGCGGGTTGGTGTGAGGACGAAAGAGGAGGGGATGGAAATGCTGAGAAGCGAGCAGGAGAGGATTCGGCCCGCGCGGGATGTGGTCGTGCTTGGGGGTGGGGCGGCGGGGGTGGAGATGGCCGGGGATGTGAAAGAGCGTTATCCCGGGACAAATGTCACGTTGGTGCATTCGAGGGACAGGTTGTTGAATCGGGGGTATGGAGAGGGGTTGAGTCGGAGGGCGTTGGATGGGTTGCAGGCACTGGGGGTGAAGGTGTTGTTGGGGGAGAGGGTGGTGATGGACGACCAGCTGGAGCGAACGGAAGAGGTCAAGTTGGAGTCAGGTCAAGTGGTAAAATGTGATTGCTTGGTAGGTCGGGCGTGTATGCTACTGAGCGAGGAGCTGGCTGACGGTTGTAGATCAAATGTGTCGGGCAAAGGCCGAACTCAGGCTTGGTGAGGGAAATATCGCCTTCGTCCATCGCTGAGTCTGGTCATATTCGCGTCCGTCCTACGTTGCAGCTTGTGGACAAGCTCTGCAGTCGGATATACGCAGCTGGAGATGTGATTGAGGTGAATGCGGTGCAGAATGCGCGTGGCGCATTTCAGCAGGCGGAGGTGGTTGCAATGAACATCGTGCGAGTAATCAAGGGCAAGACTCTTGTCGAGTACCAGCTAGGATGGTGGGAAGGTGCGACAAAGTTGACACTCGGCCTGGTGAGTAGGCATCCCCACTATCGAGAGGCGAGGCTGACGATGCGCAGAAGAAAAGTGTGATGTACATGAGTGACGGGTCGGCCGAGTTGATTCTGTCCACCAAAGGCAAGGAGGAGCTGGACAGTGCCCGCGTCTGGAAATTCTTCGGGCTGAAACCTTCTGTCGATATTCACAAAGAGAAGAGCACTTAAGGGAGGCTCTTAGAATTTCAGCGTTTTTTATGCATTCAGCATTTTTTAAGCAATGAGAATAGCGTGCGATCTTCCTGTACGCTGGGACGCCAATTCTCAGCCAGTCCTCTATTCCGGAGCCCACCCCCGAACGTGTCTCGAGCGTTGATAAGTAGCGCAGCATTTGCTGATAATGGCGATCTTCTTCTTTGACTTGATCTTGGTCTTCAATAACAAACGGAGGGAATTCTGTCGATGTTTTCCTCATAGCCTTAACAAGCACAAGATAGAGTCCAGCAGAAATTCAAGTATTCCTGGGCCATATGGAGCCATGGAAGCTTCCCATCTCTCCTTCAGTGACGGGGTCGATAGGCGCTTCTTGACAAGCTCTGGAATTTTGGATCACTTCAGAGGGATCATTTTGCTAATCCCGGTCGTTGGACGAGACGGTATCAGGTATCTCTGGCTTTGCTATCGTTGAAGGAATTGTGGTGTACTAGAGAAAGTATTATCAGAGCTGAGCGAGAAGTCGATGGTAGACATTCCACTGTGAGTCAGTTTGTACTGGTGTCAACATAGCATCACCTCATAGGCAATTCTGACATAAGAATAGGTCGTGACTCGACATTTTGTGATAATCATACTGCACTCCCGAAAGTTGTATACTCATTGCATCATTCAGAACCGATTCGCCTTGCCAGTTTGATGAAAAACCCCAACAGCTAGCTCGACGTATGAATACTGCATCATCTTTGCTTCTCTCCTGCCAGCCCTCCGCTAAACGACCGACCGAACGACCGACCAGCTGTCATAATAAATAGAGGCGGCACGTGCATTGATGGTAATCCAAACTATGAGATATGCTCGGCCTTAGATCATCACAGTGTCGAGCACGTGGCTTAAGCCTTAACGCCGATGTAGCCAAGCCTCCCGGCAACCAAGGTACTGTACCTGTTCAACTAACCAACCAACTTGCCCCGCTCGATTTCCACAACAAGCAAAGCTGACACCCACCTGCACTGTGCATGAATTCGGTGAGATTCGTAATGACGCTGATACCTCGACTCTCGGCGAATGAGGCACAGCATGTTATACGAGACAGTTTTAACCTAGCTCAAAAAGGGCCTTCTTTGTTTCTCCTCCTTAACTATGAGTAGTATACTTCCCCAATCACTACAGGCAGTCTTGTTCTACTTTCTTCTCACCTTCACATCAGTATTTGCAGTATACGTATGCCTGTCGCATATCAACTTCCAATGGCAGGCACTCCAGATTTATTTGAGTTCACTGCGCAAAAACGCTTCCACCAACGGTTCATCCTCCCCGCGACAGCAGACCATGGTCCTCTGGCTGTGACATATGCTGATGTCGGGCCGCGTCAGCAAGAAGATGGAACTCCGGTACCTACGATCTTAGCCGTTCCTGGGATGGCAGGGAGCCGACTATGGCTTTATCACAAAGACCACCTAGCAAATGTGATTGGAGTCAGAGTACTGTCCATCGATCGGTGAGTGGCTCGCTCGTATTCATTGATTGTTCCAAATTGGATGCGAGTCCAATTGCTAAGAATAATAGCCCCGGACTGGGCGGATCAAAATCCGTTCCAATCGAGAAGCGGGTCTCTGTCTGGCTTGAAACCGTTACAGCGCTGCTGGACTATCTGTCAATCCCGCATGTGGTGCCTATCTCGCACAGCGCAGGCACTATTTACCTGTTGAATCTACTTGTGCACAAGAGAGACTTGCTATGGCCACAGACGCCAATCGCAATGCTTCTCGGTGAGTGGCAGTGACTACCTCAGGTACGATGGCACCTTACACAAACTTCGCTAACAGATCGGTTAGCCCCCTGGGTCGAGCCCAAGCATTCCGATGTGTTGTCCATGCAGATGGCTCAGATGCTTCCCAAGGGGGTACTTAATCAGTGGAACAAACTTATTGGATTCACCTTGACCAAGGCAGCACCTACCTTCGGTGCCAGTTCGGGCATCCTGGTGAATATGTCTTCCAGCTTACCCGGAATAGGCAAAAGCCTTGCTCCCGGAGAACCTGACGCTTGTCTAGCCACATACGGAATGCCTCTAGAAGCTGTGGAGAAGCTAGAGAAGATCACCATCGAGTACATGTTTACAGAAAGCTCCACCGGCATCAATGATGAGGCGATGGTCTGTCTGAAGAAAGGGTCGTTGGGGCTGTGGGGGGCTTGTGAGGATCTCCCGGCTTATGTCCGGCAATTGTTGCAGTCAGAACAGGGCCATAAGCAGCATCATCCACAAGAGGCGCCCCTACGGCTGGTTGCTGTTTTTGCAGAGAAAGATAGTATGATCGGCTCTCGGGGGCAGCGGTATTTTGAACAGTGCTTTATGCGTGCCGATCTAGGAGGCGGTGTGGCTTTTGAATCCGTGGTAATGCCGGGGACCGATCACGATTCTATCTGGTCAAGGCGGACTGGAGTGTTGGAGAAACTCATGTGGGACATCAAGGAAATCGCGCAGTAAATCGCGCAGGAACTCATGAGAGTTTTTCGTGTCTCAAGATGTGCCCTGCGATAACATCAATTAATAATGCATCCGTGCTCACGGCATTTGTCAGCAGCTCCTTTGACACTTCTCTGACGCCATTCTGTAAAGCTTGCTGAGTGCAAGTATAAGAACCATCCCATTACCCAAGCCTACCATGATATTTAATTCACTTACCAGATTCAATTATTTGTGCCTGCCAAAGCCATCATGAGCCCCTCTACTCTTGTGGTCAAAGCCGACCACCTTCCCTACTACACTCCCGCCAACAATGCCGGCGCTGCCGTTGAACCCCGCGATGCCGCTACGCCGACCCTCTTCCGCCCGCTGACGATCCGCGACGTGACCCTCAAGAACCGTGTCGTGGTTTCGCCCATGTGCATGTATTCCGCTGAGCCCGATCTGTCCTCTCCTCTTGTTGGCGCCCTAACCGATTATCACATCGCCCACCTGGGCCATTTCGCCCTCAAAGGCGCTGGTCTAGTGTTCGTTGAAGCGAGCGCCGTCCAACCGAACGGTCGCATTTCCCCTAATGATGTTGGATTGTGGGACACAGCCCCGGACTCGGAGCAAGTCAAGGCTCTCGAGCGGGTCGTACGCTTCTGTCACGCCCAGGGCGCCAAGGTCGCGGTGCAATTGGCCCACGCCGGACGCAAGGCCAGCACAACGGCTCCTTGGTTGGCCAAGGAGGCCGGGAAGCCAACCTTGAAGTCGGATGAGGACGCATTCGGATGGCCTTCTGATATTGTCGGACCATCAGGTGGGAAGGAACATATCTGGGACGGCACCGGCGAGGGATACTGGACGCCACGGGCGCTGAGCACGGAGGAGATTGATGAGATGGTCAAGGCCTTTGCCAGAAGCGCTGAGGCGGCCATCCGAGCTGGTGTGGATGTTATTGAAATTCACGCGGCGCATGGGTATCTTCTGAACCAATTCTTGAGTCCAGTTACTAACAAGCGGACGGACAAGTATGGTGGGAGCTTCGAGAATCGCACCCGACTTCTGCGTGAGGTCGCGACGGCTATTCGAGCGGCGATTCCCAGCGGCACCCCGCTATTTGTGCGCGTGAGCGCGGTTGAGTGGCTGGATGGGAAGGCTGTGGCGGCCGAGTCCGGCTCTTGGGATCTCGACAGTACAATTCGCTTGGTTGCGGATCTACCGGAGCTCGGAGTTGATCTAGTGGATGTCAGCTCTGGTGGTAACCACAAGGACCAGAACATTCACATGAGCAGCAAGAATTATCAGATCGATCTGGCAGGCCATGTCCGCCAAGCAATCCGGGAAGCTGGAGCATCGACACTTGTGGGCAGCGTCGGATACATCACGGAAGCAGAGCAGGCAAAGGAGATCGTCGAAGGAGCGGAAGAGGCTCGCGCAGCGGAGGACACTCTGTCTGGATCATCCCCACGCGCTGATCTGGTGTTTCTGGCTCGCCAGTTCCTGCGTGAACCGGAGTGGGTGCTCAACGCCGCGAAGACGCTGGGAGTCCCCATTGAACACCCGGTTCAGTTTGGGAGGGCCCTCTAGCGGGCCAGAAGTGAGGTTATGAGACACGATCCGACTATTGTAAATAGACTTGTATGTTCTGAATAGATTTTTGTGTGTGTCTGTCTCATCTTCATAGGTTAAGTGAGTGAGTAAGTGAGTAAGTGAGCTGAAGTATCTCAAGCGGGATGCGGGAAGCAGACGGAAAGCGCCGAGGTCCTCGCGCTTGACCGCATCGGAATGACGAGCTGCATAACAATTAACAACTCATCAACCGCCACTGATTCATCGATGCGTTTGCTCCCTTAAGAACGCCAACCCCCGCACTTCATCCTCGTCCTTCCCCCTCGTTCTCAATTGACTTTTGCCCAACAATCAACAACAATCCAATCCATCCAACATCACCATGGCTCTCAAACCCGGAGACTCTTTCCCCTCTGACGTTGTGTTCCAGTATGTCTTCAATTATCAAAGTGAAGCGGTGAATTTTTACTGAGAATCCATTGGATAGGTACATTCCCTGGACAGAAGAAAGCGGCGAGATTACCGCCTGCGGAATTCCCATCAACTACAACGCCTCGAAAGAATGGGCCGATAAGAAAGTCGTGCTCTTCGCCGTGCCTGGTGCGTTTGAATCTACCCCATGTTTTCTCTTTAAGCCTACTAAGATGCGGATCCGAATTCATAGGAGCCTTCACCCCCACCTGCTCCATCAATCACGTTCCGGGGTACATCCAGAACCTTCCGCGGCTCCGAGAGAAGGGCGTGGAGGTGGTCGCTGTCATTGCCTCCAATGACCCATTTGTGATGAGTGCTTGGGGCAAGGCCAACAACATCAAGGGCGATGATATCGTATGTTCTTCAATTAAGGCACCTGCTTCACGACTGACGAGTCTAGCTCTTCCTCTCCGACCCCGATGCCAGATTCGCCAACTCCGTCGGTTGGGCGAACGGCGGCCGCACCGGCCGATTCGCGATCATCATTGACCACGGAAAGGTGACCTACGCACAGATTGAGACCGAGAAGGGAGTCAAGGTAAGACGCCAGCTTCCATCCACCGGCGCTGATTCAGTGATTTGCTAATTTTGAGCGTAGGTTTCTGGTGCAGACGCTGTGTTGGCTCATCTGTGAGGATAGTGCTGTGGATAAAGCAAGTGAAGAAATCTATAGAGAACAGTTTCGTGCCTGCCTCGTGTCAAAAATTGGATCTCAGTGGTTGTGGCTCTGTAGTCATGTAATTCTGTAAAGAGCAGTCCGTCAACCGCCATTTGGATATGGTTCAAAGCAGGCTTATACAATCGATGATCCGAGACAATCAACCATGGCATTCATCATAAATCTTGTGGATCAGACCTACGACCCACGGTCATGAGATATCTGTCAATTGAAAGCAATCAAGCAAGCATTGCCCAGCAGTAACTATTGACCTGGTTGGCTTCGAATTGCGGCTCAGCTCGGGTCCTAATGAGGCTATCTATAGCTCAATAGTTTAATACCTCGGGCAAGTTTGCGGCGTAGTCTAATATAGAGTAGTTGTGTCTCTCCGCTGCTTGCGAATCCTTCCGAAGAGCTTGTTTCAGTCTCCCTTTCGTACGTAGCTTTATTAACGCCCTGAACTTGCTCAAAAATGTGTTTTCTTGCAGCGTAGCGTGGGATGAGTGGGTCAACCCCATACGGTGTAAGCAGCTTGCATGAAACCCCGGGTTTAAGGCCAATTCTCGGGTATACTGGATGATCTACCACCAATCACAATATGGAATCCCTTCTGGAAACCCAGAGAAAGCAGTGGCATGTTTTAAATTGTGTAAGGGAAAAGAGGTGAGGGAATCCACCCGGGCCAGAATCGAACCGATAGCTCTAGGCCGACTAATCAGTTTTGAGAAAAGTCTCCTGTGCCCCGCCCGTTCCCAGATTTGCTGGCTGAATAATCTCTCTCGAGCTCTTGATGTCATCCATTCCTGAGACTGCAACATCTATATAAACCTCAAAGCAAGAAGCATTGATCGAGTGCCACAACATATAGTCAATTCCACATTGATCATACACACTTCAAAATGGCTCCCAAGGTTCTCGTTGTTCTCACCTCTCAGGACCACTTCCCTGCTAACAACCACCCCACTGGTTGGTATCTGGTGAGGACCCCGCTATCCGCACAAAAATCAATCTCTATGACGATGAGTAACTGACCTGTCACTAGCCCGAGTTCGCTCACCCCTGGGAAGTTCTCCATGAGAAGGCCGAGCTGGTCATCGCCTCCCCCAAGGGTGGCAAGGCCCCTCTCGACCCCAGCTCCGTGAAGATGTTCGAGAACGACCCCTCCTCGACCAAGTTCCTGAAGGAGCAGGAGGCTCTCTGGACCAACACCGTCAAGCTGTCCGATGTCGCCTCCAAGGTCTCCGAGTTTGATGCCATCTTCTACGTGGGTGGCCACGGACGTAAGTCTCTTTGCCATCCCAACCTGTCAATTGCCAACGGTACTGATTCCCACTAGCGATGTACGATCTGCACAGCGACAAGACGTCCTTGGCTCTGATCCAGGAGTTCGCTGCTGCCAAGAAGCCCGTCGCTGCCGTCTGCCACGGTCCTGCTGTGCTGGTTAACGCGACCACCCCCTCCGGCGAGCCTCTGCTTGCTGGTGCGGAGGTCACCGGTTTCTCCAACATCGAGGAGGACCAGGTCGGCCTCAGCCCCATCATGCCTTTTATGCTGGAGACTGAGCTGAACCGCGTCTCCGGCGGCAAGTACGTCAAGGCCGATGAGCCCTGGGGCGAGAAGGTTGTTACCTCCCAGGTCGCTGGTCTTGGTGGCGTTGTCATCACCGGCCAGAACCCGGCTAGTGCTACTGGTGTTGGAAAGGCAATCCTCAGTGCTCTGGGATTGTAATTAATCTGATGTGTGAAATGATGCCTAGATATGCCGACCTGATAAGTCTAATTAGTGATTAATATACATATTCCGTTCACGAGGATAGGTTACTTATGCTTCGAACCATAGACAGCGAGGCGAGATGTGCTTTGATGATCTACATAACCACTAATGAAGACCACGTTCCGCAGGATGCAGTGTCGTTGGTCTGAGAACTGCGTTGCCCGTACCTCCCCCTATCTATATCGTCTGATACTATCTCACTTGGCGACTCTCAAGCAGCATATTTCTCAGTGACGGGCCTGTGTCAATCTACATACCGAGATACAGTTAGGTAACATGTCATCTTGGCTAGGATCGGCCCTTAGCAGATATATCGGAACACATGCGCCGGCGGAATCAGACAACGGTCGATCTTTCCTTCATGACGCCAATTGACGTCTAAAACGACCGGCTTCTATAAATGGATCATCTGAATGGATAGAATCTACACTACAAGCCGTCTCAGATGGTTCCTTTTCCTATTGTCAGAGACTAAACTCAGTCGCCGACCATTGCTCCTTGACTAGTGCATCTAGTACATCTAGAAATCACCATCGCTACCAACATGACCATAACCCTAGACACCACACTCGACGATCTCTACTCGCTGGACAGCGGCGAACCCCATGGGGTGATAAGCGCGTACCCACACCCCAGCCAGCCCTCGCGGGCGATGCCTCACCCCTTCTCCTCCGAGTACTTCCTGTACGGCATCACCTTCCCCAACACCACCGCCCCGAACACAATGCAAAACATCCTCGAGCGCGGCATCGCGCAGCGCTACTCCTTCATCGCCGGCCGCGCGCCCGTCATTTTATTCGACTCGCTCCCCGCAACCACCGACGCGGAAACCCAGAACAACCCAGAACAGCCCCCACCCCCAGCCATCACCGACGTCCTCACCCTCCACGCCCAGCTGCACCCAGCCCAAAGACCGGAGCTACACTTCCCCCGCAACGCCTCCGCCATCGACCTCCCACCCAACACCCAGATCGCCATCATCGTCCCGCAAGATGAACTCGCCCACCTCCCGCACATCCTACCCCCAGAAACCCACTACCACCTCCTCAGCAAACGCTGGCTGGCGCTCTCCTCCCTCTCGACGCCGACCTCCACCATCATCGACCCTATCATCCCCCCAACCCCAGACCCCCTCGCGGCCACCGAAGCAGAAATCACCCGCATGCTCCAGCCCATTCAAGCCTACCCCACCCTCCCATTCGTGATCAAAGTCTCCGTCGCCGCCTCGGGCCGCGGCACCTTTGTGGTATGCTCCGAAGCCGAGAGGTCCGACGCCTGCAGCCGCCTCCGCGCCATCCTGCACACCTCGTTCCCGCACGTCACGCCCCAGAACGCCCACCTCCACCCTCTGACCCTCATCCTCCAGCCGTTCGTGGCGGGCGAGGCCCACGGCATCTCCTTCTTCCTCACGCAGACCGGAAGAGCAATCTTCCACGCGGCCTCGCGGCAGCGGTTCAACGGTCAGGGCCAGTGGTGCGGCGGGTGGGTGTCGTTCCCTGCGCAGCAATGGCTCGAAGAGCGGTACGCAGGGGTTGTGCTCGCTTTAGCGGAGCGCTTACATGCGGAAGGGTATTACGGACCCGTTGGGGCGGATGTGATGACCGAGGAGAACGGGGGCAGACACGTGATTGTGGATGTGAATCCGCGGGTGACGGGGTCGTATCATCTGGGTTTGTTGAGGGGGCATTTCGTGGGGAGGGGCTTGGTGGAGGTGGCGGTTTTGTCGCCTTTGTATGTTGTGGGGGATAGAAGTGGGTTTGTGGGGAGGTTTGGGAAGGAGATAGAGGAAGGGAGCATGATTGTTACGGCTTGGGTGCAGGGGGTGGACGGGGGGAGGAGTTATGTTGCTGTTACGGTGGGTGGGGAGGATGAGAGACGGTTGAAGAGGTTGGTTGGGGAGGTGGAGGCGTTTGTTCGGGATGGTGAGGCTGGGGTTGGAGAGTGATAGTATGTACAGTAGCTTACTGGATTGTGTGCTTAGTGAATGGAGAGAGAAGGTAGTTGCATCTATAGTGTTGTTTTGTTCTATTTTAGCCACACCCTGCCTTCGCTTCGTCATGATAGACCGGAATAACTACTAAACCCCACAGCAGAATATCGCCCTCCACCGATCCCAAGGCCGAGAGCTAGCCATCCATTGCGCCTCGTGACCCAAGCCCTCGCCCTCCGCTCCCCACTTCTCATTATATTCCTCCTCGTCCACTGCACCAACAGTTGCAGACACATCATCCTTATACCTCATCTCGTCCTTGCGCTCCTGAAAACCCCGAATGGACTCCACCACCAACTCAAACTCCCCCTCCTGCTCTCCGAAGAAACTACACCAGCCCAACCATCAGCATCAATCCTTTTCCTCAAAGCAAGAATATCCAACCCCACACAACCAGAAGACCAGGGGAAAAGAAAATACTCACCTCCGAACCATAATCCCCACCCTCCGCACCCTCTCCAGATCCAGCGGCTTGACCCCATCCCTAATCTCCCTCCCGCGGTACGTCGGCCGAAACTCCTCCCACGCGAACCGCAGCCCCCCACTTCCCTTTCCCTCTGGAACCGTAAAGTCCACCTCCCACGACACCGAACTCCGCTCCCGCCCGTCCGGCCGATTCGGCAGGATCTCGTCCTTCAGCGTGAGGGTGTAGCGCTTGTCGTCGGCGCGGGGAACATGCACCTCTATTCCGGAGAACCGGGAGAGGTCCCATTCCTTGGTGGTGGTGGTGGTGCGTTGGGAGGCGAAGCCGGCGCCGCCTAGGGTGTGGATGTCGAGGGTGCCGTGGAAGCGAGCTGTATTCTTTTGGTCATCGGAAGAAGAAGGCGTGATGGTGAGGTAGGAGTGGGAGGCACCGCCGCGGACGCGATCGTCGGAGGAGGTCCAGTCTTCGGGGGTCCAGGGGCTGTTTTTTTTTTGGATGGGGTTGTGGTTATTTGGTGGTCTGGTGGTTGTGAGGGGCCTGGGCGGGACTTACATGGGGCCTCCGAAGAGGTAGTTTGATGTTGTAGGTGACATTTTTGTTGTTGATGTGTGTGTTAGTTCTGAGAAAGAGACAAGGAATTGGAGTACGCGGGGTAGGAATGATAGAGAAAAGGAGGTGGTTTTTTTGGTGGATGTTGTTGATTCAGGTTCCAGAATCGCGGCAATCGGGATCGGTGGGTTTTCGGCATCGATGACGTCGGGATTGCGGAGCCCCGATTGCAGAGCTTGGTTGGGTTTAGTAGCGTAGATGGGATGGTTTCTTTTGCATTTTCCACGATGGGGTGTGGTCAATAATTGAGCTTGGTTTGTTCTATCAGCTGTAGCTGTTTAGTGGGATTGGAGCCGTCGAGGATCAAGGGACGTCGATCTGGCCGAGTCTAGATCTCGGGGCTTGGACTTTGTCATCCGGGCGCTCATCACAAAGATAGTTCACAGGTCCGCAAGACTTTGCCTGCGCGTGTTCCATGCAATACTCAAGTGTTGACTATGTACACCGGTTTAATATGTGAGATTACTCTCGGTACCGGAGTCTAGTTTCATGATTATTGTCGGTCAAGCTCAAGACTCCAGAAAAACATAGCGCCTTTGAGCGCACCTGGCTTACAGTCCATGGCCTAGATATCTCGTTCTCTGGAACATACCTTATTCGCATTTACTGTTTCACAGTTAAAGCGCGGCAGTGGTATCTACTCCACGACGGAAAAGTTGAGTGGATAATTGAGCGCGGAGAAAACTGGGTCGATCGATACTCGGTGATTGTACAGTGCCCATATGGGGCAGACCCAAAGTGAAATCTAATCGGATATGTCATCGGCTCAAGCTTATCGTATCATGTCATGACAACGCCTGCAAGGAGCATTTTGGTTGAGATCTGGACACCATGACCACCACACTCGCCACTAGAATCAGTCACACCCAATGGCCGACAGGGTTCACGGCAACGTCTTCCTGACGCAAAAGATGCATCCCACAGTAGCCACATGTGTTCTGTATATCCAGCGGAACGAAACATATCCGACGGATATACATGTGGTACTTGACGTCATGTGTATGTAGTCTCAACCACAGCGTATATCAACAATGGAGACTCCTCCTCGTTTGTGGTGGTAAGCTACTGGATCACCTTAATCTATTAAGAGCAAGTACCTTCAAACCAGAATCACCCACATCCAACAAATCCCGTTCCACAACAATCGTCAACATGGTTGCACACTCCGGCGGTATTACCAACGGCCACCCTGGCTCGGTTCGGTAAGTCATACTAGATATTTCTCCTAAAGGGCAAGAGACTGACTACTTCATTGTGTAGTTCCCGAAACCTCGCCCTATTCAGTATCTTTGGCATGATTGCCGGCGCCGCTCTAGTCTTCCGCGCCCAGTCCCCCAGCAAGGATGAGAAGCTGTTCTCAAACAAAGAAGCTCAGACTATGGTTGGAGGGCAAACGGGAGAGGACCGAGTGGGACGGGCACCGAGCCATCAGCCTAAGAACTGATCTGAAGGTTTACTATGAATGTTATGATTATGGAGATGTGCCTTTACTGTACTTGTATATAAATCGAATGGCTGGGCTGTATCGGATGGAATATCATTGTTGATGAAGTCTTTCCTGTTGTAACATAATGAACAATACTTCCTTCGCTATGAAATGCTACACAACGCTATCCCAACGCGTAATGAACATAAACCCCAACCTCAAGATCAGTGCCAATACTTCGGCGCAACCCCCTTAATCAACCCCCACGCCTCCTCCAGCACCTTGACCACCTCCTCCGGCAAAGGCTCCTTCTCCAGATCCACCAGATTCTCCTCCAGATGCCGCACACTGCTCGCCCCGACAATAATCGCATCCCCGAGCTCCGCCCGCAACTCGGAATGATACTTCAACCACCGCAGCGCCACCTCAGCCACCGTCAGCCCCGACCGCCCACACACCTCCTGGATCTTCTCCAGGGCATCAAAATACGTATCATTCCAGTACCGGCCCCGCGAGACCGCGCCCTGCACGATCGCCGGATCGAACCGCGACCCGGCCTCGAACTCGGTCTGCTGGCGCGTGTACCGCCCCGTCAGGAACCCGCCGGCCAGGGGCTGGAACGCGTACAGCGCGATGTCGTACTTCCGCAGACACGGGACAAGCTCCGCCTCCACGCTGCGCTGCAGTGCATGGTACACACCCTGGTAGACCGTCGGGCGGATCCAGCCGTGGCGCGCGCAGATCTCGCAGATCTGCGCCACCTCCCAAGCCATGAAGTTGCTGAGGCCGAAACGCGCGAAGCGGCCTTCCTCGTGGAGGCTGTTGACCTCACGCAGGGTCTCCTCAAAGGGCACGGTGCGGTCCGGCCCGTGCAGGTAGAACAGGTCGATCGTCGGGCTGTCCAGGGCGCGCAGGCTGTCAAGCAGGCCCCGCCGGACGTCCTCCGGTTTGTGCGTGTAGGTCCCCACGCTCGGGAAATGGCTGCCCGCGTTCGGGTACAGCTTTGTGGCCATGGTCAGGCCGCGGGATTGCCAGTCGAGGGCGGCGAGCAATTCCTCCGAGGAGCCGTGGCCGTAGATTCGCGCGGTGTCGATTTCGCGGTGGTTGTGCCCTTGGAAGGTGTCTAGGATGGTCGATGCTGTTGCGTTGTCGAAGACGCGCGCCCCAAGGGTGTCTATCTTTTGGTTAGGGTTGTGTTTGGTAGTGCAAAGTGGGTGGGTGCGTACTGGGCTTGCCAAATGTCATGGCGCCGAAGACGATCTTGAGGCCTGTGTTGTTGGCCATTGCTGCTGTTGGCTTTTTGGTTGTGATGGTCAGTGTGAGACTGTAGTCACTTGATATTATTGTGCAAAGACAAGATTTCTGGGGCGGAAGCACTCCTTATATACTTCATCACGGATGATGCTCATTATCTCCTTTATTTCCGTAGGAGATAAGTCGATGGCAGCTAACTCCGGCTGCTAAGCCCAACGCTCAAATTGCTGAGTACTGTGCACCGAAGGCATTTAATGAAGTCGATTTCAAATACGAATCGTGGCTGAAACTTGCTACGTCACTTACCAAATTACAAGCTCTTGTGGTTGCCCTGTCGTATTCATCTCACCTGCAGCTGTACGGAAGACCATTGCGGTCACTCGGCAAATAGGATTTTTCTTACTAAGTATCCTGACCGCAGCAGTAACTGCCTACTAAAATAGTTACTATAACTAAGCCTCCCTCCCCCTCCTTCTCTACCGCCCCCTTCTCCGCCGCCATCTCTCCAGCCTCTAGAGCCTATATAATTAAAGTACTTCCTAAGTTAATTTTTAGTCTTCTACCAAACACGCCCCCCCCCTTCCTCTTTTACCTTTTAAAAAAATGCTTTAACTTATATAACCAACTCAGCCCCTTCTTATATTAGGATCTTTAGGATTTTTTAGGGTCGAAGGTATTGTTCTTAGGGTTCTTTATTAGGGACTATTTTTAATTACCCTTATTACTAGGATTATTGGGGTTTATCTTTTGCTTATAATTTTGCCGGCAGATTTTCCTTTTGCCTAGTGGCCGCAATGGTCTTCCGTATCTCACCTGCAGCTGCGGATATTTCCGCAAATGCCAAGACGAACGCCGGACAGCCGAGCAATCGACAGATGCTTGATTCGACTTGACGAGGTGGATGACAGCATTTCAAAGTCTCACGAAAAAGTAGACTGGGCTATCGACTCTCTCTTAGTTCTCTCGTGTAACCCGAAATAAAATCCATACAAATGACATGTGGATCTCAGATCTACAGTACAGCCGTCGGTGTCCCCAGCGCGCGCCAATCTTACGTCCGAGTTTATCTCCGAAGCTGGGATGGATCAGGACTGTAGAACATTCTGTGATAGGGCTGTCGATCGACATCCTTTGTTTCTGAGGTTGCTCTCAGTCTTCATGGACCCTGCAGAATTTATTTGATGAGCTAGGGCGGGTTATGCATTGGATTGGTGCCGGTGTTGCCACAGTAGCCCCATGTTAATTGATGCAGCTGTTAACTTATGCGTGGTGCTACCTCCGCCCCCTCTAATACCATCTCTAAGACTGCTTGTAGAAGTAGTCGTCATCTGAACAAAGCCATATGTAACATGTGCATCAATACCAGACATTCTCAAAAAGACGAACAGGCTAAACCCCAATCGTCTCTTCTGTGGTGCTTCGAAGCATCAATTCCTGGTGCTATATTTCTGGTGATCTGCTTTGCAATCCAGGAAGGCATAATGCAACAGATACTAGCATTCTTGCCACGACAGGCTAGGTCAGTAAAGTGGACGGAGTGTCAGGCCAATATATGATTCCTTTCTCTTCATAGATTCATGCTTCGAGAGTCTATTTTCGGACTCAGACCACGCTACGCGTCTGCACGTCCATGCAAATAAACCGAGGCTTGACAGGGCCGATCCCGGAGTTCTGGGCTCCGATCGCCGGACAGGCGGTAGGGGAAAAAAATCAAGCGGCAGCCAGCCATCTCAAGAAGGCTGAGTGTGTAATGAAGATAGCTTGGGCACGAATCATGGTCTTTGAGTTTGAGATGGGGTCAACTAGATACTGTCTAATTGCTAAGGGGCTACGGTGATTATGCTTATTATGGGGTGGTCCGGAGCATTTGGCCCGAGCCGTAAACCTGGCTCGCTGATTGGTGCCTCTCGCCGGCCCGGTCGAAGCTCTGATTTAGCTCAGTTGGTTTGTTTTGGAGGCAGCAATTCATCGACTGGTCTATTCACCACCCCTCTAGGCTCCTTCTCCTAGCACGCCATTTGGAGGCGTGAAAAACCATCAGCAACATTTGCTCTGACGTTTCATAGGGCAGAAGAGACTTTGCAACGCAAAATACGCCCCAGATGACGTTTGGCCTTCGATGCCTCAAGCATGCCTTTTCCCTTGGATGACCACCACCATCATCTGACATGCGTGAACTATCGTCTTCCGATTGAGGCCTCTATCGCGGATCCCCCATCTCGCTCTCTCTATCGAGCTCGAGGAATTCCGTGCGGGGTATGACAAGCCGTGCCTCGCGGGCTGGCCACGAGCTTATCTGTTGCCACGACGGCTGCCGCTGGACTGCACCACCACTCTTGGCAGGCGGAAAGACCTTCCACTCGCCGTGTCAATGCTTGTCTCCTTATCCTCCTTGCGTGGGGTAGATGGTTGATGGCTGCATGGTGGTCTGACGGCAACTAGCATAGTTGACTCCGCTTTGGATGGCGTGCGACGCTCGTGGTTCGTCGTGCTATCAGCTCGAGTTGTTGAGAATCCAACTAAACTACGCAAGCAAAACCGCCCGCCAGGCCCTGATGCAATGTACAGCGTTAGCTAACTGCTGTCCGTTCTGATACCTGCCTTGCTTGGCCAATCAAGCATAGAGCGGTATCGGAATGTCTCCTACTATCTTGACCTTGGCTGGCAAGCTAGATAAGCCCTCCAGATGGAGCGGTCTCAATATCTGCCCTGTTGCAATCGAAAGAGGTGAATGAAAACAGACTTCAGGATGATCTTTCCATGCATAGAAGCAAGAAGTAAGGGTTGCATGAGTACTAGGTAAGGAGTAAGACCTCTGGGCTGTGGCAGGGAAATGTCTAGGGCGGATGGTGTGCTTTTAGGCGTTGTTGCCATATCGGGTGGGTCTTTCGTAAGCCAGCATCTGCAGACGCCCTCCAACTATTGCATTCCTGCTCCCCTCCTTCTCTGTATCGCTGCTGTATGATAGACAGTGTGTAGCGTCCGCCCGCGGTGGCGATAAGATATCGAATCCATCTTCTACTATAAATGGCTGACGGTCGGCTCGGTCGCATACTGTCGCCCCTTGGTTCAGGTTCATCGCTGTGACGCTTCAAACTCACCACCATGGCTTCGGAAATCGTTGCCTCCGGCAAGCCCAAGGATGAGATCGAGACACACTTGGCAGGAGTAGACGGCGATGGGAGTAGCTTGGAGCGCAACGAGGAGAAGGAGGAGGTGAACGTTGCCGAGATCCGAGAAGTCACTGCAGTCGAGGCCTTTACATGGAATGTCGATGGGGATCAATCACCATGTAAGTGGTTCTGATGGGCACGGTTCGTTTGATCAACGCATTGCACATACTGATCGCTCAAACGCTGCGCAGTTCCCGAAGTAGCTGCTTGTGTTCCTAACACGGATGATCCTAATACGCCATGCAACAGTCAGTACACCAGAGTGTTGAAGTTGTTTTTGGACCCATACTGATATTTTGCAGCCGTGCGCGCCTGGGTGCTGACCACAGTGTTTGTCATGATTTTCGCGGCTGTCAATCAATTCTTCAGTCTCCGTTATGTGCGTCCCGCTTGCTTCTTTCTGCGCATGAGGGCAAAAACTAACAAGACTAGCCATCGCTCACTCTTCAATATGTCGTGGCCCAGCTGTTGGTCTATCCGGTTGGTAGAGCATGGGAGAAACTTCCGCGGTGGAGGGTTCCCCTGGGCAGATTTACGTTCGACATCAATCCCGGGAAGTTTAGCATCAAGGAGCATGCTCTAATCACTATTGTGAGTTTCTGGCGCGATCTCCTAGCCGTTTTGTAGGCTCATCTGACTTTCCATCAATAGTGCGTCAACATTAGTGCCAGCACGGCATATGCTTCGGGCTCTCTCGTAGCCATCACGATGCCCCAATACTGGAATCGTGATTTTGGTGCAGGCTTCGCCTTTATCTACCTCCTGACGTCCCAGATGCTAGGGTAAGATTTACTCCCGTCGCTGGCGGTGACCCTGTCTAACTAGAACAGTTTTGGGCTCGCTGGCCTTGCGCGTCGCTGGCTCGTCTATCCAGCTGCCCTGATTTGGCCGTCATCGCTGTCGTCGACGGTGCTGTTCCGAGCACTCCATGAACCGGAAAGTCGCGCAACAGTCAACGGCTGGAAGATGAGCCGGTATCGCTTCTTTGCCTATTTCACTGCCATCGGTTTTGTAATCTACTGGTTCCCAGACTACATCTGGACCAGTTTGGGCACGTTCGCCTTTGCCACCTGGATTGCCCCAAAGAACCAGAAGGTCAACACCATCTTTGGGGTAAGTGTTCTTCCGATCCTTTCTTTGGTCGGGTTAGGACTGACATGCGCAGATGAACTCTGGACTGGGATTGATCCCGATCAGTCTCGACTGGACTCAGATCAACTATGCAGGCTACCCCCTCATGACCCCCTTCTATATCACCTGCAATGCCTTTGCGGTGGTGGTCTTCTTTTATCTCTTCCTCTCGCCTATTCTGTACTACACGAATGTCTGGAACAGTGCATAGTGAGTCAGCTCATCAACTGCCGATCTGTTAGTACTTTCTAATTCTCTTCGCAGCCTCCCCCTGCTTTCCTCTTCCACCTTCGACAACACCGGAAGCTCCTACAACGTTACTCGAGTCGTCGACGAGAACCTGGACTTTGTGCTCAGCAAGTACGAACAGTACTCACCCATGTATATTTCCATGTCCTACTCGCTCACCTACGGTCTCTCGTTCGCCGCTGTGACGGCCGTCGTTGTGCACACCTATCTGTACAATGGCTCGGAGATCTGGGCCAAATTCAAGAACTCCCGCCATGGCGGTGAGGATATCCATCGGAGGCTCATGCATGCTTATCGTGAGGTCCCTGATATTTGGTATGGGATTCTGTTCGTTGTCACGGCCGGGCTGGGCATCTTCACCGTCACGTACTGGGAAACCGGGCTCCCCGTGTGGGGCTTCATCGTCGTGTGCTGCGGCATGTGCATCTTCCTGATTGTTCCCGAGGGCATCCTCGAGGGAACCACCAACCAGCGTGTCTTCTTGAACATTATCACTGAACTGATTGCAGGCTATGCTTGGCCTGGAAAGCCGATCGCGAACATGATGGTCAAGTGTTATGGGTATAACTCGGTCAAGCATGGAATGGATTTTGCACAGGACCTGAAGTTGGGACAATATATGGTGAGTGTCCTCCAGTCTGTTTGAATGCCGACCCTAACTGGAGCAGAAAATCCCACCGCGGGTCCTCTTCTTCGCCCAGATCTATTCCAGCATCCTAGCCACCATGACCCAGACCGGCGGTATGTTCTCTCGGTCATTTCAGGGGAAACCACAAGCTGACACTCGCTAGTCTTTCGCTGGATGATGGGAAACATCACCGGGCTATGCGACCCAAAGAACACGCAGAAATTCACCTGTGCCGGTGCTAAGGTTATGTACAACGCCTCGTTGATCTGGGGAACCATTGGCCCGCAGCGCATGTTCCAGTCCGGGCAGGTGTACAACGCGCTTATGTACTTCTTCCTCATCGGCGTAAGTCCTTTCCAATCCTCAGTGCCGACGTACCTAACTTCGTGTTTAGCCCGTGGTGACTGTGGCTGTCTGGCTCATCTACCGCCGCTACCCCAACAGCTGGGTCAAGTACATCAATGTGCCCATCTTCTTCAATGGCGCGGGTAACATCCCGCCTGCGAACACCAGTTTGTGCCCCTTTTTCTGTTCTCTAGTATCAACATACTGACCGTTGCAGCGCAATATTCTCTCTGGTTCATCTTCGGATACGTGTTTATGCATCTCATCCGCAAACGGGCCTTCCTGTGGTGGAAGAAGTACAATTGTGAGTCGGGGGTTGTTTGTGGCGGCAGAATGATGAATCGCGCTAATTCCTCATGACGTACAGATCTGCTGCAGGCGGCCATGGACACGGGCACGGCGATCGCGACCATTATCATCTTCTTTGCGCTGACTTACAACGGGATCACGCTGAGCTGGTGGGGAAACAATGTCGGGTCGGACACGGATGATACCAACTCGGTGCCGTGGTTGACCGTACCGACCGGGGGCCACTTCGGCAAGGGCCCTGGTGAGTTTTAGGGCAGCGCCGTGGGCCCGACTACATGCGTGTAGATTCGATAACGAACATAAGGATAAGTATGGCATCAGCGAGTTAATGAGCTGGCCGTAGGTGGTCGCAAAAATATGACAATAGCACTGTCATTGACTTGATTCTAATGTTAATGAATATATGCCCTGGTAATTGTTTAATTGTTCTCTGTGATATCAGCCAGGTGGTGTAAAGATGCATGACGCAACCAGAACATTGCTGTAATCGACAATCAATCCTGCATGATGCCTCGAAAGATCTAGACAAGACGCAAACCGCATGGCTGACAGGTGATGTAAAAAGCCAGCGAGGATAACCGCGCATGCAGTGAAATCTGCGTGGCCCCTGATTCTTCCGACAGGAGAATTCTGCTGCCCGACTGCTGCAACGGTGCTCTTATCTCTGGGTCTTGGGGCTGCTGGAAGGACCACCGTTATAGATCAAATCTCTGCACGACTAGTGTGTTCGCGGATATTTGCGGCTGTCGTCGGGGTCCGCCACAATGCCGGGCGGGTGTGCCTGGCACGAGCCACAGCTCCGAAGATACCCGTCCTGCAGTTTTGGGGCCAAATACTCTGATTGGACAGTTGCGGAACAAGCTCGCTCGGAGATGTGGCTGGAGGTCCGACATCCAGGCCCCGCGGAAAGAGATGGAGCAAAAAGTGAAGTAAGACACCAGAACCAGTTCTCGGCCCGCGACAACCTGTCCTGGTGTGAGCAGTGAGCACTGAATCTGATAGACCATGACATGGATCATGGCACCACGGGGCGGAGCCAGTGGAAAATTTGTCGTCGTTAGTCTAGATATGATGGATAAAAGTGGAAACACACATCGCGACAAGTGGGTTGGGGGGGTGGTGGAGTTAGTGGTGGAGCGCTGAGTAGATATATCAGGGCCTGCCTACTATGCTGTGCCCTTTCTCTTTCTCTCTGGTTCAGTGTCAACGATATCAATCCCACACTCCGGAGGCCCGGCCATCTTCCACTCGCTATGGAGCACCACGATGATCATGACCATGAAAAGTACTTCTCCGAGACGACGCCCGTGGACAGCACCAGTGACGATTACTCGTCGTCCTTCGACGAGCCCCAGCACCCGGACGACGAGCACCACCCCGACTCGTTGGAGTTGGCCCGCATCAACACCTATCGCCTGCAGCAGAAGGCGACGGTAGGGTCGACGCGACCCCCGGTGCCCCGCGAGGAATGGCTGCCCATGGGCGCGGGCAAGGAGTATCCGCCTCTGCTGCCGGACCCGGAGATGTATGTGGTCGAATTCGACGGCGCCCAGGATCCCATGCATCCGTATAACTGGTCCATTCTCCGGAGGTATGGCATGCCACCCAAACCGATCATGAAACCTCCCACTCACTAAACCTTCCCCGTTCCACAGAGCCATCCTCGTCGCCATCCTCTGCTACTCCACCTTCGCCGCCTCCTTCACCAGCGCCATCTTCTCCGCCGCGTCGACGGGCGTGAGCCGGGAATATGGGATCAGCACGGAAGTCAGCACGCTCGGGGTGACGCTGTACGTGCTGGGGTTCGCGGCGGGGCCGACGATCTGGGCGCCGGCGTCGGAGCTGATCGGGCGGCGGTGGCCGCTGGCGCTGGGGCTGTTCGGGTGCGGGATCTTCACGATCGCGTCGGCGACGGGCAAGGACGTGCAGACGCTCATGCTGTGCCGGTTCTTCGGGGGCCTGTTCGCGGCGAGCCCGATCTCGATCGTGCCGGCGGTGTTCGCGGACCTGTTCAACAACGCGCAGCGCGGCATCGTCATGTCGATCTTCTGCATGGCGGTGTTCATCGGGCCCTTCGCCGCGCCCTTCGTCGGCGGCTTCATCGCCACCAGCGCCCTCGGCTGGCGCTGGACCCTGTACCTGCCGGCCATCATGGTCTTCGCCGGGTTCGTGTTGGTGGGGCTGTTCCTGGACGAGACCTACGCCCCCGTCATTCTTGTCCGCAAGGCCGCCCTCCTGCGCCGCCAGACCCGCAACTGGGGCATCCACGCCCGGCAGGACGAGGTCGAGGTCGACGTCCACGAGCTCGTCCGCAACAACTTCACTCGCCCGCTGACCATGCTGGCCACCGAGCCCATCCTGCTGCTGATCTCGCTGTATATCAGCTTCATCTACGGGCTCATCTATGCCCTGCTCGGCGCGTACCCCGTCATCTTCCAGGGGGTATACGGCATGAGCGCGGGCGTCGGGGGCCTGGCGTTTGTCGGGCTGATCCTGGGGGAGCTGCTGGGCGGCGTGTTTGTGCTGTTCCTGCAGGGCGACTACAAGCGCAAGCTGGCCGCGAATGGGGACGTCCCCGTGCCGGAGTGGCGGTTGCCCGCTGCCATTGTCGGAGCGGTGGCCTTTGCTGGCGGGATGTTTTGGTATGTTGTTCCCTGCCCTACAGTTGCAGTTCACTTCACCCTCTTCCATGCACAAGACTATCCTTCCTGCCGATTCTCCCTTCATCCACTAACATTGAGTAATGGAATAGGCTCGGCTGGACCGGCTACAACCCCAACATCCACTACCTCGTCCCCATGGCCTCGGGCGTACTCACGGGCTTCGGTATATTCTGCATCTTCCTGCAATGCTTCAACTACATCGTCGACTGTTATCCCACGTTGTACGTCCCCCCCCAACCTCTCCACCTCCCTCCATTTGAGAAATGTCCACTAACGAAAAGTAGGGCGGCATCCACCATCGCTGCCAACACCATCCTCCGCTCGGCCGTCGGCTGCGCCTTCCCGCTCTTCTCGCGGCAGCTGATGCAGAACCTGGGCGTGCAGTGGGCCGGCACCCTGCTCGGGTGCATTGCCACGGTGCTCATTCCGATCCCCGTGGTGTTTTGGCGGTATGGGCCCTGGTTGCGGAGTCGGAGCGCGTTGGCGGCGTCGCCGGTGGTCCGGGTGGAGAAGGGGGACGAGGAGGGGAAGGGGGTGATGATGGTTTGAAGGGGTGGATGAGGTTGTGGTTGTGGACATGGATTGTGGATTGTGCTGTGATGTATGGCTTGACGAGATACCCTTGCATTTTTGTTTTTGTTCTTAGCGCTTCTAGATACTGTATATGATGTCTGATGATCCAGAAACTAAAAATGAACTCTATTCCATTCCAACATGTTCCAACTGTATAAACATACGACACAAAGGACCCCAGAGATTCAGAACTTGTTGCTGATTGTTGGACAGAGGTTGCTCTGTGCACTAACTCCCATCTCATGCCGTTTCAGGGTAACGGTGCTCGGTAGAAGCGAGGGAGGGGCCTGTTATTACCGAGGACTAACGGTGTCGTTATCAAGCAAACCACACCAAGCGCCTCGCACGAGGAATAGGAGCGTGGTTTGCAGGGGCTACTGTCACAGAACCTGGCCCAGCCGGCCCCGGTGTTGTTCGCTGAGCCCCATCGCCTGCCTCGTGACATCGTACATGTACCCTTGGAGGCCAGGCATCGTACTTAGTGAACAGTATCGCCTTTGATGAGATACGTACTGAGTGAGACGTAGGATGAATCTATCCCCCACAAAGTACGCGGCAGCCTTGCAGCAAGCTTTTCACAGCCGTGTTGAGATGAATGTAACTTCGTTCTTTCCGAATCAGGCGGGCACAAATCAGTCCACAGTTAGACGAATACTACTCGGGAGGAGGAAGCCCACTATTTTGAGTACCTTTCTCATCCTCAAGCACTGGGGAAATGGGGGTAATTGGCGAAGGACTGAAACCAGTTCCCGGACGTATCGTGGAGAACACTGCTGAAAAGGTCCTGGTCGAGAAGGAAAGGAGACGTCAGCAGAGGCGCCATCTGCACTTCCGCATCCGACGCGGAATCCATCGGTATGCCTGGATCCATAGGATCACCCTGCGCCTCTCGCGCGGTGGCGGCGCCGGCCGGACTGAGCTCGTTCGTAGATGTGATCGAGCGTGGCCCGCTACGACTCTGAGAAAGCTCCCTTTGCTGTCGCTGCAGCAATAGGAGAATATTTGCAGTCGGGATATCGCCCTCCCATTCCATTGTCTCCAAGCCCGCGAGACGCTGCATGTTCTCTTCCAGGGAGAGCACCACCTCATCCGGAGGGCACATCTCGTCCCCCAGGTCCAGGCTGAGCTGTCGGTAGAGTTGACACAGCGTCCGCAAAGTTCGATACCAGCCCGTGGCTAGGCTCCAGACCCTACAGGCACCGCCGAGCCAGCCATAGGCCCAGACCAGCTGGTCAGACAAAGACTGCCCGTCCGGCGCCTTCTCGATGCGTGTCCCTTGGGTCGCGTCCTGCATCGTGCAGAGGATCCAGGTCGCGGCGCTAAAGACACAGAAGCAGGTGAAGGGGGTTTGGAAATCGATGCCGCGCTGCTCGAGCTCCTGCATGATCGTGATGATATTTGCCGCGGCGGCAGACGTGGTCTGGTAGCATCTGTCCCACCATCCGTCTGGGGCGTCCTCCGAGAGCAGTGCCGGACCGCTAGGGTGCGTAACCGCACGGTTGACAATCTGCAGCGCAAATGGAAGATATTCCCGATGCAGGAAGATGACACTCAGATAGTAGACGAGGTTCAAGATGGCGAAGCGCTCCCCCTCCCCACGAGATATGTACACACGGAAGTTCACCCCAGGGCCCGAGTATACCAACTGCGGATGCTGTGACGCACGCCAGTCATTCAAAGCGGCTAAACTGCGCTCGGCGAAAGAGGAGCTCTTCCATGGCGGTTCCTTGGAGGCAAGCGAGTCGCGCTTGCGGCCACCCGCCGACACCCACGCCGAGATTCGGTGCCATATAGAAAAGCCTTGAATGATTAAGAGCAGGGAGCTGTCGCAACCCAACCGGTCTATAGAGAATGCCTGAGAGCGATGATCCCCCACTTCGGGGTCCCACATATCTAGAAATCGCTCACGTGCGACCGCTGGCCTACCCTCAAACGCGAAATCATCCTCCCCCAATGGTAAAGGGATTTCACTGACACTCATCGAATGGCTGGACGCATGACACTTTCCACAGCCGATCATAGCATCCACCAAGTAGCAGGCCCAAACGGTTCGACGAGCTTCCTCGAGGCGAAATTTCTGCGCCGCCGAGAGATCCTTTTCCGAGGAATCTTGATTCGCCGCATGGACTCCATGCGCAATGCGAGAAGCCATCCCATTGTAGATCCACGCACGGGAGCCCTCGCCCTCGCCCCAGTCATAGAGGCATAGCATGACCAGCGCCTGGCATGAATATAGATCCATAGTCTGCGCACTGTGTTGCATGATATTCTGCCGGACGTAGTCAGCGAAGATCCTGGAGGCTCTCGCTGCACTGCCATGCTGTCTGAGCACCTCCGGGATAAACCGAGCAGTCACGGCCAGGATGGCACATAGTAAGAGATCAGGGATTCGATGCTGATCCAGATCAAGAAGAAAGCTGGGCTGGTGAAAGAAATTGAACTCCGGGAATTGCCGGATGAAAGTATGGAACGCACGCTCGGCAATTGTCTTGCTCAACCCAGTCAAAGGAGTCTGGATCCTCGATGCCTCGTTCGAATGCGATTCAGACATGCTGGCCTCCGGCATACTATACTGCTGGGAGCCAAAAAGAAAGGCATGATGATGACGTTGCCCGAGGTGACGCCGGGAAGCCTCTTGAGTATCCGACGCGGGGTCTGCCCGAGACGGATTGACTCCCAGGCTACTATCAGGTATACGAGCAGCGCTGTCCTTCCGGGGACGGGACGAGGCGCGCACCCGTTTTGACGCATGCTTGGGTTTGGTCAGAACACATTCGCGTCCGCGATGCAGGGTGCAAGCTCGACAGGGTGGGGAGCCGTTGTGATGGCATTTGACCTTCGCACTCCTGGACCAAAGCTCATTCAGTCAGCGCCAAAATCGAGGACCAGAATGAAGAGCTCTGGTGCTACTTCATCTGTAATGCCAGAAACGAAATTTCCAAACTCATATGGGCACCAAGCTCACCGACACCAATGACACGCAAGTGTGGATCTCATGATTTGGAATGTCTGTGGTGAGTGTAGTTCTCCATCAGCAGGAAAAGCTGGGTGGGGGAAGGGGAACTGGATCAAGATATCATTCCCGAGAGCTGAATCTCTATCGCATATCACATGACATCCATACCACGGTTTACATCCAATGGTTGTTTGGTAGGACAAGCTGCATCAAGAAGTCTCATGAGAGTAGGTAATTCTAGAGATAAGATATGAAACATACCGAGATTCTCCAGATGGAGGTAGCACCGTGCTCGTGGGATTGTGGAAGCAACTGCGCCACCACGGATTGTCCGATGTTGTCGCAAGAGCAATTAAGCTTCCAGCAATGTAATTTGACAGTACCCCCATATCGAGGAATATCAATATATACCTAGTTCCAAGACTTAGTCTGTCTCAGTGACCTTAGTCGGAATTGTAATAAGGGATTCTCTCTAGGGCCTCTGGGGGACCGCTGGATACGAGATGCGAAATGCGAAATGCGAAATGCGAAATGCGAAATGCGAAATGCGAAATGCGAAATGCGAGATGCGAGATGCGAGATGCGACAGAACGTCGATTTCTAAACCGAGATCACCGGAACCGGGACGTGCTCGGCTTTTCTCTGAACTGGAACGAAGGGCTATGGAATCTATTGAACAGATAGGCAAACTGGAGCCATCTCGACTAGTGGCGCCATCGGCCTTGGTCTTGAACAACGGTCAAATGATTTATAGCTTCCTGTATCCCATCCTCCCAGATCCTAGCATCAAGTGAAAATCATCCTTCCAGAATCAAATCAGCAAATGGCCACCGCTACTTCAGTCTACTTAACCCCAGAGAATGGAGGTGTCTTCAGTCTACCGGGGCTCAGCTGGGCATCCGCTCGCAAAGTGAGCGAGGTGCTCCAGCATGACATGGAGAACCATCACATCTATCGCAATGATATTGAGTTTCACGGTAGGCTACCTCGACGCATTGCGATTCCCATCAGCTGATACTAAACTTATGCCGCAAGATCATCTTGTGCACTTCATGCTCACGATCTGGGCCCTGGGAGCCTCCCCCGAAACCATTCAGTTGCAGTATGAACGCGAGGCGAAATGCCAACGACCAGCATTTCCCCGGGACGAGGCCAGAATCCAGTCGTTCGCCGACAAGAAGGAGTTTATGAAACACATGTACCACGAGGAGCAATATCCGAACTACCTGGCCTTCTTCCAGCGCGTGATCGCGGACAAGGGGGTCCCGGCGGTCATCAACGAGTACCTCTTCGGGGGCGACGAGCTGGCGGAGTCGCTCCTGTCCCGGATGTTCGCGGGCCTCGTCCACCCCATCATACACCTAGGGTTCGGGGTCGAATTCCAACAGCCGGCGATCGTCGCGCAGGCGCTGGCTCAGGCGTCGGTGCACCAGGATTACCTGAGTGGGGACTTCTACAAGCCCGCTGCGGTAGCGTCGGCGCGCGCCCCGACCCCAACCAAGACACTGATGGAGATCATGGACGAGATGCGCGCCAACCAGACCCTCCATGACACGGCGGTTCATGGGGACTCGGAGGTCTTCGCAGACGGTATCTTGAAGCGAGCCGGCGCGGAGGTCATCCGGGCATGCAGTCAATGGAGCGTTCCTGAGGACAAAATAAACGAGAAATTGGTGGAGATGATCAACACCGCCAGTGAGTCTTCCGTCCTCTTTTCGCTCCGGATTTGAGCCCAGCTCGTCCCATAGAAACATTCAACTCACCACCGAAAACAACAGTCTACTGGACCGCGACCGCGCAGCATCCGCAAAAGCAGTTGAAGCTCGACTTCTTCTTCATTCACGCCGTGAACCTCTCCATTTTCTTCAAGGCGTTCACGGACCTCCCATACCTGAGTTCTGCCAACAAAGCGCGTCTGCTGGAGATGAAGGGGCGCACGGATCTGCTGATCTGGGCCTCGCGCAAGATGCCATCGCCGCAGCCGCGCGATGTGCTAGAGTATCCGATCCGCCTGGGCTGGCCCGATGTCTTCGCCCAGAGTTATCTCCACCCTTCGGATGACGGCCATCTACCCAAATTCGTCCGCACGGTGGCCTTCGCCGAGCAGTTGTGCCGCCCGCATGAGTCGACAATGGATCTCCCCGTCCGAGGCGACATGTGGCTGCAGATCGGGAATATCGGTACGTGGGTCCTCGCCATCCCGATTTATCAATTTGGTTTTTCCGAGATCGCTCCTCTGACCACGCTCTTCTAGCTGTGGACTCTGTGGGGATCATCGCAGAGGATATGTGGGTTCGTGGATCTGGGTTCGAGGAGTCCTGGGAGAAATTCGGGCCCCGGACTTAAGCCGTAGGTGTTTACATGTTTTACTGAGCTGTATGGAGAAACTTGGATTTCTCTAGCGAAATTCAGTTTACTCGCTCTCATATCGGTACTGGAGAATAATGTGGGCAGTTGGAACAACCTTGAGTCAGACATTTCTGGAGTTTGTAGTGAGGACAATTGACGGGATTATGTTTAGTCGACCCCGCGTCCGGTCCGCGACTGAAGCCTTCGCAGAATTCTTATTAGTACAGGCGGCAAGGAAAGAAACGAAGAGCGTTTGGCCGTGATCTAGCCCGTACAGGGGGCAGGTAAATCGAAAAACAGAAGGGGAGTGTGTTGTTGGAGGGCCTGGGGGGGCCGGGGGGGCGCTATTCTTATGAGGCATATTATTCGTAAGGGGGTGAAAGGGGTAGGGACTGGGTGGGGGAAGTGGTTTGAGAGTATGGGGGATTGAGGATTGGGGATTGGGGATTGGGGGCTGTGGTGGTAGTTGTTTTGGAGTGTTGGTGGATTGGGGCATTGTAGTGATTGTTATACAACGGGACTTTCATTACTGGTTGTCACAATATCTACTATGATCGTGTAGGATATTGACAACAACAACTACCTACAGAATGAACAAGGTTATGGATGAATAAGATAGATGCACTCACTGAATGGCGTCACGATTGATTGGTGAAGCCGGTCACTGTGATGTCATCCCCCCATTTAGCCACCGACCTATCGCAGCCTCCCCTTATCAATCTTTCCCTACAGAAACCACAATTTAGAAAATTGTTTCAACTTGGAAGCAAGCAAGTTAACCTTGATTGAGTCGAGTATCTTCTTGACTCGCTGGTTTGGCCTCCGGGCTTTTCTGCACTGGAGACCCGTCAGAACTAGTCTACGCTCGTAATCGCCGGATGCAATCTGGGGAACGAAGATCAAGGAACTTAGAACGCGAATGGTCCATCGAATCTAACCGTAGAACGATCAGATCCCTTCCGTACGGGTCTGTCCAACTTGACCTTGTTCTGCGGAGATCTGCGCAGCCCACCCACTACCTCTTTCATGTCCGGGTAATGTATCCCAGCAATCAGCGACAAGAACGCAGTTCTGTTACACCTGTCATGTTTGTGTCATGCTTCTCGGCGTGCAAACACCATCTCGAAGCTGGTTCCACCGTTAGGTCATCGTGATGCGACCCAGGCCCAAGCATATATGCAGTCCATGCCGACCACCCAGAAGAACGCTCATGCAACAGACTCCCAATTTACTGCATTGCTTTCCGGCCATGCTTCAAGCCCTGAACCTCTACAGCGTCACATGCCATAGAGCAATTCGACACAGCACCTTCAGACGTGTCAACTACCAGCTGCTCTTCGCCGTCTCCCGATACTCGACTACTACCACCTCGCCCTCCCGCAAGCTGGCCACCATGGCGCAACACTCCCATCAGTTCATGAACACCTCCGGCGAGACGGACCCGGTCTGGGTCCGCCACATGCCCTACTCCAAGTACCCGCACTTCCCTGCCCTGGATGGGAACGTTGAGACCGACGTCTGCGTCGTCGGGGCCGGCATCGCCGGTATCTCCATCGCGTACGAGCTGGTCAACCGCGGCAAGCGGGTTACCATGATCGAGGCCCGCAATGTCCTCTCCGGAGAAAGCGGCCGCACCAGCGGCCACCTGTCCAACGCGCTCGACGACGGGTACACCGAGATCCAGAAGAAGCACGGGTCCCAGGGCGCGCGGGCCGCGGCCGAGAGCCACACCTGGGCCATCCAGCGCGTCGGGGAGATCTCCAAGTCCCTGGGCATCGACTGCGAGTACCGCACGCTGCCGGCCTATGAGATCTCGCAGTACCCGCGCGGCGACTCCAAGCACGACCAGGAGATCGTGGAGCTGAAGGAGGAGGTCGATCTGGCCCAGCAGCTGGGCCTCCGGGCCTCGTACCACGAGGGACTTGCCGTGAAGGGCTGGAACGGCGCGATTGACCAGCGCGACGCGGCCGTCTTCGCCGACCAGGCCACCTTCCACCCGACCAAGTACTTTGTCGGCGTGCTGGAATGGCTGCGCCAGCAGCCCAATTTTCAGTGTTTCACCCATACCCGCATGATGTCTGTCGAGGAGAAGGATCTCGTCCAAGTGAAGACGTTCAATGGCTACACGATCACCGCCAATGACGTCATCCAGGCCACGTGCGTCCCGCTGCAGAAGCTGAGTGTCATCGCCGAGATGGAGTACATGCGCACGTACTGTATTGCCATCCGCGTGCCGAAGGGGTCCATCGAGGACTGTCTTCTGTATGATGAGGCAGAGGCGTACAAGTACATCCGCTTCACGGAGTGCGATGCGAAAGATGACTATCTGGTGGTCGGGGGTTGCGATCACAAGGTCGGCCAGGAGGAGACGGGAGGCCGGTTCGAGGAGCTCGAGACCTGGGTGCGCGAGCGATTCACCCAGGCCGGGTCGGTCGACTACCGGTGGAGCGGGCAGATTTTTGAGCCTGTCGACTATATGGCGTTCATCGGTCGCAACCAGGGCCAACACCATACCTATATTGTGACGGGCGATAGCGGGAACGGACTCACCCACGGTGTGCTAGCAGGCAAGCTGATCGCGGACGAGATCACGGGCACTGAGAACGCTTGGGCTCAGCTGTACAACCCCAACCGTCTCAAGAGTATCGCGAAGTCGATGCCTAGCATGATAAAGCATGATCTGCAGATCAACGCCCAGTACAAGCGGTGGATGCAATCCGACATCAAGGACATCGAGGATCTCGCGCCTTGTTCGGGAGGCGTGATGAAAGAGAACCCGGCCAAGCCGATCGCCGTGTACAAGGATGATCAGGGCAAGGCCCATAAGTACAGTGCCATCTGCCCTCACATGAAGGCTGTGTTGAGTTGGAATGATACAGAGAAGAGTTGGGATTGCCCGGTCCACGGCAGTCGGTTCAGCTGCGACGGAGTGTGTATTGAGGGACCGTCCAAGGCCAACCTGACGCCCATGGATGAGTTTGCGAAACGTGAGCAGCGTGCTCAAGAGGCAATGTAAAAGATAGTAGAATTTTCTTCTCTTTTTTTTTGTCTTCATTCATAGGAAGTATGTAATGATTTAAATCCAGTACCATGGATTCTAACAAGAGATGTGCGTTGTCCGAGGAATAGAATTAACCATGAACGGGTAAGGATACGAAAACGATGTACGACCGGGGATAAGCTTATTGAACCCGTCGCTCCTTTCCTAATCGGGAGTACGCAACGAGATACGAAGCATCATTTTTCCCCTTAGATTCTTCGACACATTGCCACGAGGTTCAGATCCCCAGCAATCATTTACGCTGCATTTGAGGCAAAATGAGGTCCACTGCTGCCTTAATTATGGATTCGGTCCATGGCCGCCGATGTCTGGTACGGCGACAGCATTTAAGATAAAAGCAGAGCGCAATCCTCTGTCTTGTCTTCTTTCTCTCTTGCAACCCAGTCGCCATTGAATCTCTTCAGCCAATACTTCTTTTGCTAGTCAACCAACACAATGGCTATGGAATTCACATTTTACTATTACGCGCCGTCCACCGCAGCCGCGGCCATCTTCGTGGTCCTGTTTGGCCTCAGCACCCTTCTGCACTTCTACCAGCTGACCCGAACGCGGTCATGGTTCATGATCCCTTTCTTCATCGGAGGCATACGTACGTCAAGCATGTCATTCTTTGTCCATATCCACACAAGCTAACAGTGCGGGCCAACAGTCGAGACCATCGGATACGTGGGCCGCCTGCTGTCCGCCCGGCAGAGCCCCGATTTCACTCAGGGGCCCTACATCATCCAGAGCGCTCTGATCCTCATTGCGCCCGCCTTCCTCGCCGCGAGCATCTACATGACTCTCGGTCGTATCATCCGCATGGTTCACGCGGAGCAACACGCGGTCATCCGCCTGAGCTGGATGACCAAGATCTTCGTGACGGGCGACGTGCTTTCCTTCTTGATGCAGGCTTCCGGTGCGCTTCAGCCACCACCCTCACTCTGCTGCAGCTTGCTGATCGATAAACAGGCGCCGGGCTGATGGTCAGCAACTCCGATGACCCCTCCAGCGGCGAGCACATCATCATCGGCGGTCTCTTCGTCCAGATCATCTTCTTCGGCTTCTTCATCATCACGGCTATCATTTTCGAGTCGCGCATGCGGAAGAACCCGACCAGCACAGCCATGGAGCTGTCCGGCGTGTGGCGCCGGCACATGGTCGCCCTCTATGTTTCGAGTGTTCTGATCTTCGTCCGTTCCATCGTCAGGGTGGTGGAGTACCTGCAAGGGTATGACGGGTACCTCATGAAGCACGAGGCGTTCATCTATGTCTTCGACGCGCTCCTGATGTTCGGGGCAATGGTCGTGCTGCAGTACTACCATCCCAGTCAGATCAACTGCTTTCTCGGAATGGGGGACAAGTACTCGGAGAAGGCCTTCAAGACGCGCAAGTTCGTGCCACTTGCGACGGAGATGGAAGTGTCGTCTGATGTTTGAGGGGCTGTGTTCCGCGATGAATGTTATGGAAGGTTCTCTTTAATGAAGCGATGATTGTTTCGCATGTTTGTCTGCCACCGATGCATGTGCCTGTATATACTTAGTTTGTGATGTCTCCTCCGACATCGTCTGCAACCAACTTGATCAACATCCACTTATCATCAAGTCGAGAGGAGAGCCATGTTATCATTCTTATACGCAGCCGTGCAGCTTGCATTCACCATCTGCTTCCCGGCATGCATGCAGTGCTGCTGTGGTCGACGTGCTGTTATCCGCATTTAGGCTGAAACTGCCGTACCTACAGTCGCTCTTGGTAGTGTAATCCAACCAATCCACTCGTATTGGGCGTCACCCTCCGTCTGCGAACCTGCCGATAGGCCAATAAAGATACCTCTCGTGATTCCATCTGCAACAGCCTGCAGCTGCGCGATACTAAGACCGAATAATCTGGTTCAGCACAAGCAAATGCCGTCATACTGGGACCGAAGTACATATATCTTCAAGCCAGCCCACCTTACTTCCTCCAACACTCAAACTCTAACTACCAGCACAATGCCAGAAACCAATCCCCGGGACATCCTCCCGAATCTCCCCTGTGCCCTCCCAAAAACAGGCATCCCAGAAGATACAGACATCCGCAAGGTCGCGGGCTTCTTCTCCGACCTCTTGCGCACCGACCTCACGCCCGCTTCCTTCACCCAAGACGCAGTATGGCGGGACACTTTCGCGCTGACCGGCACCTTACGAACCATCTACTCCGCCCCCACCATCAGCGATGTCTTCAACCGCCTACGCACCAGCCGGGAAGCCCATGCCTTTTGTGTCCACATCGACACCGCAAAGCCCATCCGCCTGAGCGCCGAATGCGGCCGGATCGACGTGCCCTTCGTCTTTCAGACCCGATCACGCCCGGGGACCTATTGCTCCGGGGTGGTGTCGGTGGTCCGGGCCGCGGACGAGGAGTATCGTGTGTGGATGCTGTGTACGATGCTTGAGGGACTGCACGGGCGCGCGGATGTTGATTCCCTGTGTCCCGGGGTGCAGAACATCCATGAGATTCGCTGCACCGAGAATATGGACTTTGAATGTGTGGTCGTCGGGGCGGAACACTCGGGGTTGGGAACGGCGGGCCGGTTGAAGGCCCTGGGGGTTTCGTGTGTTGTGATTGAGAGGAATGCGCGGGTTGGGGATAGTTGGCGGAGGAGGTATAATTCGCTGAGGTGTAGGTCTTTCTTTCAATAAGTACGGCACTCAGTGCTTTTTGGGACTGGCGTTTGACGACGGAGCTAAACTCGGAGGCAACAGTACACACCATTCGCAATTGGTCTCATCTCCCCTTTGAGCGTAACTTTTCCCCCTTCGTGTGGGGAGTGGCTAACCAAGAATCAGCTGGCAGAAGGACTAGAGTCCTGGTCACAGCGGTTTGGGATTGTTCGTCGGGCCCCGGATTCTTTGGGCTGAGTATTGAGGAAACTGCCACTGACGGAATCTAGAATGTCTGGACGGTGACCGAACTGGAATCCGAAATCTGGGATGAGAACAAGAGGAAGTGGACGCTGAGACTTCAACGGTATGGAGATGATCAGCGGCCGAGTCGTCGTCTGTCAGTCACTTGCTCTCGTGTCGTGCTGGCCACAGGCGGACCGGCGTTGACACCTCGCAAGCCTCGATTTCCGGGCGAGGTTCGTCTGCCTGATGAACCTTATCTCTCTGCTGATGATCTCTAACAGGAGACGTTCAAAGGTGAGATCCTGCACTCGGCGAAGTACAAGAATGGGAAGACATGGAAAGGTAAAAGGAGCATGGTGATTGGCTCGGCCAATACAGGTAAGTCATATTGCTCACAGACACCGTCAACCTGTCTCTTCAGAATTGTGGTTGAATGCGAATGGAATATTGGCCATGACATTGCGAAAGACCTGGTCGCATATGGAGCTTCAAGTGTCATCATGGTGCAGCGCAGTACGACTTGTAAGTTCCCCCGATAATTTCTTTGGGAATGAGTTAAATTCTATGCTTACGAGCTGTGATAACACCAGATGTTCTGCCCCGGGAATACTTGCAGCGAGCATGGGAAGGTAGGCTGCGTCTGCTGCCGTTTTCGTCAACTTCGTCTGAGAGTGTTGCTCTGATGGTATTCCAGGCATGTTCAGCGAGGTGACTCCTACTAAAGTCTCCGATCGCGAGATGAACCTCGTCCCGACGGCTGTGGCGCGTTTGATGACCATGGCAGCCGTGCATCCCCAGGCGGCGGCCGAGCCAGAGCGGTTCTAAAGTCTCGTCCGCGCTGGGTTCCGAGTGGAAGTGTTTGGAGATCTGATCTATCAGTTGAATCAGCGTCTTGGTGGGCATTCTATGGATACAGGGCCATCGGCAATGATCGCCAGGGGCGAGGTAGGAATCATGTCAGAGGCAGAACCAAGAGTAAATCGTGCTGACTGGGTTTCGAACAGATCAAGGTCAAGTCCGACAGCGCGGTAGTCTCGTACACAGAAGAGGACCTTCTTCTCGATGACGGGAGTGTTCTTCCGGCGGATGTTGTGATCTTCGCGACGGGGTTCACAGGGATTCTCCGTGACTCGGTCCGCACCTTCTTCGGCGAAGACGTCTACGATCGCGTGGAGGACTATTGGAGGGTAAGTTGAAGGGCGTTTACGTCCCAATCGGCCGTAGGTGCAATCTGCTCTGCTTCTTTGCATATATGTTATGACGATTGTTGAGATCTAACGCGAAATGCATGCCAGGTCCTGGTCTATGGTATATTGGAGGGAGGGGCCAAGCTAGATTCTATTCGAGATTTGTGGCTTTGCAGATCCGTGCCAGCATCGATGGAACTCCATTGCCTGCGTACCAAAGAATACACGTAAAAGAGAACTCGGCATCGTCGGTGATATTCTATCTCTCATGATCCATTGCGAAGCCCCTAGGGTAGAAGCTCCTCATTGCAGCTGCTCGAAAAGATAGACTGAATGATGTCCCGGCTGCCCTAATATTTTCAAATGTAGCAATGTTCTACTGCACTTGAGTCTGATTTGATAATCATACGAACGGTCATCGTCGTGCCTTTCAAAAGGCTGGCAGCGGTCCTGAGATCATGACTTGTCCCGCCTTCCTCCATTCAAGCTTCTCGGCCAGCATATCCCAGCTCAGTGGACCGTCAAATCGTCCTATGCCTTTCAGGCGAGCCGCCACAGATGCAACTAGCTGTTCAAACTGGTCTTCGATATCTTTGATTTGTTGTAAATATTTCGACTCATGAAAGGAGTCAGCGGATTCATTGTCGTTGGTATCAGAGTCGTCGTCATCCTCGTCGCTCAAGTCATCATCGACATCATCAGTATGATCACGGGTCTTGCGGTCCAGAACTGGATCATTGCGAGTGTCTGCATTCCTCAAAGTCCTCCGGAATTGAGACTGGTCGCTTCCGTAGCGCGTGGCCTGGACCTCTGAAAAACGGACACAAAGGTCGAGAATAACGACAATGACTTGGTGAATAGCTACAAGATTGTCCGACAGCAGGCATTGTTCTTTCAGAGACATCATGAATCTATAGTGAGCCTCGACCATGCCATCAATGTCACTGGCGGCAGACAAGGCCTTGCGTAGCGACGCGGTCGCTGCTGAAATGACGAAGTCTGTCATGTGACTGTAGATGGCGTTAAGAAACCAGAGCATGTTGTGTCGCAGCGCATAGCTTAGCGTATTTTTCCTCGTATCTTGTATCTTGTCATAAATATTGCTATGCTGCAAGCGCTGCTTAACAAGTGCATGCTTCGCTCTGCGTATCTGCATCAGAAATCTGGAAATTTGCTGGTACTCATAGATCGCGGATTTCGGGATGATGTTCGCAACAGGCCATGGTAGAATGTAATCAAATGAAATTGCGTTAAGCATGTTCATCGATCGGCTGCTGCCCTTCTCGCCGTTTGGTCCATCCGTTGAGGATCGTACGATGATTCGTGACGGGTCAATAGAAGGCATCGAACCAAAAATACTCTGCGCCAGTTCTGTAAGGAGATATCGGTCGCTCCATGTCGCTTTCCCTCTATCGATCAGGTCAAATATTTTACTGTCGATTATGCCAGACATGCTCATGTCTCGGCAGAGGTAGATATACTCCAGAGCCTGAAGCGATTCCCACAACCCGCACTGTTGGTCAAATTTGCTTCTCAGTAACGCAGATGTAGCAGTGTGATTTTCTTCCACCATCTTCTGTAGGGCAGACTCGAGCAAAACAGAAAAAGGAAGGTAAGGTGAAGGGGATTCTGGAGGGCACACGTCCTCTATTGTCACGGATGTTTTTCTGCGATCTTCATCACCCGGACTCACGTTCAGGTGTCGCAGGAATACCATGCTCTTGCCAGTAATCAGAACTTTCTGCATGATAGGTTGGATAAATTGAGGTACAGAGGAGAAGTTAGAGGGCGCATGAAGGATATACCAGTCATGCCAGAGGGTTCGCAGATCACCATTCTTCTGCTGGTGGTGGACGAAAAATCCATCATTGGCTGCGTCTTCTAGTTTGCCAGTTTCTAGCCAGAGACGGATAGGTCGGGCATATGTCTCCAAGCAAGAAAAGAACAGATCAGCAAGAACCGCGAACCCCTCATCGTCACCTGTCGCTTGGGTCAAGCAGACTACATCGTACAGACGGTCGAGACATTGAACGGAAGCATTCACTGACGTTGTCTCAAGCTTCGAGACTAGGTCTGACAGTATCAGGAGAAGCCTAGTCTCACGGCACACATCTTCATAGAGCTGCAGTAGACTAACAGAGGCGGTTGACGTTGGAGAAAGGTATTGATGTTGTGATTTTGAAAGAAACATGTCATGATTACTCAAACAGCCTTCCAGTTCCCGCTGGAAGGTTTGCATATAAGGAATAGTTTGTGGCATCCTGACGAACAGTCTGAGAATGTCGACTTGAGTTCCGACTGAACTTAGGGATCGTAGAACCGAAGAGAGAGTACCAATCGATAAATGCGCAATAGTGTAGTTCTGATCTACTTCAACAATGCCATTAGGTCGTCGAAACATGGACGTAGGCAGGCCTTGCAGCATGAAGATTGTTTCCCGGATAACCTCAAGTTCCGTCAGGGCGCAAGATATTACTTCGTGATCCCCATCGGACTGGGTGTTTCTTGTCCAGAATTGTGCCTGCTTGATCGACTTTACCAGTTCTTCGTCATCATCAGATGTTAAATCAGCATCTGGAATCACATAGTCTTCTTCTGGAGCTATGGAAGTCTGAGGTCGCCGCGAGCGGTAGGTGTCAGTTGACAGGGAAACAGATGCGATCTCCTCATCGGAAGAAACAGCTCCGTAGTCTACAGCTTCCCAAATATCCTCTTCACAAAATGCTGACCCGGCTGCATCTAAATCAGACCAAGTGAGCGGTGCGGCCTCCTCCTGAAGTTTCGGCTTTGGGATTCGGTCCAGTCGTGAATACTGAGCCGGACGATCCGCAAGCTCCAGCAGCAGAGAAAGAAATTCTGGGGCCCAGGAGCTACGGTGCTCATTGAGCTCTAGCAGCCTGTCATGGAGTGCATCTGCAAGCTCGTCTTTGTTGAGGACTTGGAATTTCTCCTGCAGTCCATCCAAGTGGTTGGCAACCGCAAATTGATCTGTACGGCCATGAGCACCAGCTTTGACTGTGTCCTCCGCGCGACGCTTGAGGGCAGCAAAGCGCGGTATGTCCTAAACAAGACATGTTAGCACCCACCCTTGAAGTAAAAGTGGGCTTGAACCAAATGCCTTTGCGTCAGCCTTTGCGACGGCCTCAATTAGCTTTTCTAGTAGAGCGCTCACGTTGGCCGTAGCAGCCATGGCGGGCACAACATAGATGAGCGAGCCTGAGCGCCTTATCTATGAATATCAGCACAGCCACTAAGGAAAAGACGAAAAGGAGCGCTCTCCATCGCTTTGTGGTTTCATCAAGGCCGTTGAGTTGGTTACGCGGCGCTGATGAAGTGGTGCAGGTCAGCGACCGAGCGGCAGAGATGATTGATCGGGACAGATCCACGCTAGTCCCGTTGAGGAATAGCGGCTAGGTGTTGCGGAAACTGGAACGAGAGACCGTCTGGAAGGGAAGAGAGTCTCGCGGCGAGAGGCGGCGATAAGTTGATTAAGTAGCGACAAGTCTCCCCTGCGACCTCAATTCTCCCCTGTTGCTCACTTTCCCCTCCATTTCACCTTTCGTGGGGATTTTGCAGACCGGCACAATGGCTGTCGCAAGACCCATCCGGATGCTGGCTGCATCATGCATCATCCTCGTCCTCTTCCTCATCTTCCAAATGAACAAAACACCCACCTTGATCAGTAAGGGGTCGTCGTCATCATCAACACCATACGAGGGTATCACCTCCGATCCTCTCAAAGATCGTACGTCTACGCAGTTTCAACGCCTTCAATTCTTTCGCCTTGTCTATCTCCTACTAATATGCCCTTTTCCCTTCCTCAATAGCAACTGGCGAGCCAGAGGGTAAATTGTGGCGTGTGACCGACGGCGACTATAGTCCCGGCAATTCGAAATCTCCCCGTACCAACGCGGCCCTCATCTCTCTTGTCCGAAATGAAGAACTCCACGAATTGATCCCGACCATTCGCGATCTTGAACGCACCTGGAATAGCAAATTCAATTATCCCTGGATTTTCTTCAACGACCAGCCCTTCACCGAAGAATTCAAGAAGCTGACGCAGGCGGAAACCAAGGCAAAATGCTACTACGGTATGTCCCGCTGATTGACCTAGGCATTGTAACCACAAGTCTCTGACGTCGACATGAAGAGCAAGTGCCGAAGGAACACTGGGAGGTCCCTGAGTGGATCGATATGGACCTATTCCGCGAGTCCGCCGAAGTGTTGAAGGAGAAGGGAATTCAGTACAGTGACAAGATCTCGTATCACCAGATGTGCCGCTGGAACAGCGGCTTGTTCTACCAACACCCCGCCCTCCAGAAATATCGGTACTACTGGCGTGTTGAACCCAAGGTCAAGTTCTTTTGCGACGTTGACTACGACGTCTTCCGCTACATGGAGGATCGGAACCTCACCTACGGCTTCACGATCAACCTTTTCGATGCTCCCGAGAGTATACCATCGCTCTGGCCCGAGACCAAGAAGTTCCTCGCTGCAAACCCGACCTACCTGAACAAGAACAATATGATGAACTGGCTCACCGATGATCAGCTCCGACCCGAGCACACGGAGGCTGCCAATGGATACTCGACCTGCCACTTCTGGTCCAACTTCGAAATTGGCGATATGGAGTTTTTCAGAGGCGAGCAGTACTCTGCCTACTTTGAGCACCTGGACCGGGCGGGTGGCTTTTACTACGAGCGCTGGGGTGATGCTCCGGTGCATTCTATCGGCCTGGGTCTCTTCGCCGATAAGAATAAGGTCCATTGGTGAGTCGATGGCCTCGCATTGTGTCCACAGCATCCATGATAATCTCTAACTCACAATGCTTAGGTTCCGAGACATCGGTTACAACCACATCCCCTATTACAACTGCCCCACCTCCCCCAAGTGTTCCGGCTGCACCCCGGCCAAGTTCTACGCCGGTGAGCCCTGGCTGGCCAAGGAGGATTGCCGACCCAGCTATTTTCAGCATGTCGGAACCCACTAGAAGATACGGCACGACATGATACGACTTCGTTTACACTTTATTATCTGGTGCAGACGGCAGGTGCTCCTCTATCTCAATATATACGAACATTCCGCATGAGGTACATGGAGATAAGAGACAGGTATCTCTGGTCCTACCACATAACAATTCGTTTACACACTCAATCAAGGGTGTCTGTTCTTTGCACTCGGTAATCTATGCCGTCCGAGCCTTGCGATCAATTATATGTACAGGATTTTAGTGCGCACGGTTGCCACAGCTTACATGTTCTACCACCATTACATACCCAGTCTTGTTGAAGAAATTGCTCAAAATTCATCCTGAACTTTGGGGGGCGTTACCCAGGGATTCGTTTCTCTCCATTGCTGCTTCTCGGGGTTGGTTGTATCCGGTGTGTCATGCGTTTCTTTTAGGCATCTCCGGACTGGCATTTACTGTACCTATTAACATTATTTTCAATGTCCCATGTCATTGATGAAGCTCTGGAAGCGGAAGCTTTCGAAGTGTATGAATTTTCCGGTCGCTACGCTTGTATTTTCTTGTAGAAGCCCACCATGAAATCAAGGGATAAATGACTTAAAGACTTACCAGATTCCTATCCATAAAGGCTGCCCACAATCGCATTGCACAGAGCAATAACAGTAGAACAAGAACATCGTCTTCGATTTTCGCACTTTACCCCCTCAATAAAACAGAGTAACAAGCAAATGCTCACAGGATTCAAAAAGCAGCACTGGTATAGAAAAGCACGCGTGTACCCTCCAATTCACCCCCATTCCCCACGACAGCCAGGACGCCGGAACGCAGCCATGTGAGGTCCGTCTTCTTTTCTTCGTTTATAGAAAAAATACACACACCACACCACACCGGGACAATTCAGCGACTTCATTCCAACTGCACTTCTAGAGTATGTATACAGCGTTCCTTATCTTTAACTGACTGACAACATGAAAAAAAGATAAAACGACGAGACGGGTGAATTCCGGACACAGAGGGTTGAGGTTCTGCGTTTACTGCTCCTCGGGGTAGAGCTCCTCACGGAGAGGAACACCCAGCTCCAGGCGGAGCGACTCAAGAGCCTCGAGGTATTGCTTGTACTGTTCCTTGGTCTCGGCCTTGGCCTTGATGCCTATTTTGAACGCCAAACGAAAGGGATTAGTATCTTCTTGTGAAATGTGCGGACGGTAGGGACAGGAAGAGTCAATTGGGAGGATTGAAGAGGAGGTTATCGCACCCTCGAAGACACGGACGGCAGTGGGGAAGTCGTTGACACGACGGGCAGCCTTGAGAGCGGCGGTGAGGACCTCAACGGAGGGGACGAGATCGTAGGCGAAGCAGTTGTTCAGGTTGCGCTGTGTTCGAAAGAATTGAAAATGTTAGCCCGGGCTGATATAGGTTCGAGCGAGAAGCGCCCAGCAATCCGCCCAATAGCAGCTTGGCTGATTATCAAGGCTGGGGATGCGAGTGGGTGACGCGAGCAGGGAAGGCATCGGCTTACCTGAAGCTCGAAGACATCCTGGACACCGTCGAATTCCTTCTCGAATCTATCGACAGGTGGGTTAGAGGTGAGGTTGTTGACGGGTTTGAAGTAAAGAGCGAGGTATTGCCATAGTCAAGGCATCAGAAGGGGCCGGGCTTCTCGGGTTCGGCTGCACGTTGCGACCGAGTCCGGACCAACGGGCTTGCATCTGTCTCCAATGGCTCGGCAAATTATGATTGCATACCTGTCAGAGAACTCCTCGAAAGTCTCGTCCTCGTGGTGGCCAGAGTAGCGCTGAGCGGAGGTGCTGAAGCTGGGGCGGCTGATAGCCTGAGCGATGGGGAACTGCACGCGGGCCCGGGGCAATTGAGCGGCTCTGATGAAGCCGGAGGGACGGACGGCGCGGCTTGCGACACGGAAGACGGAGATTGGCGACATGGTGGGAGGAAGGTGGTGGTGGAGGTGGACGGATTGGGGGTGAGTGAGGGGAGAGCAAGACGGGCGAGGTGTTGACGAAGTCGAAGTCAGAGGTTAAGCCGGGCTGCACTAGGATTTTGCGGGTGGTGTGAGGTTGTTGGTGCCTCAGGCATTCAGAGTATCCGCCCTACAGTGGTCGTCCGTCATTGATAATCGCCAGCTTTTCCTTTGCGGCTCCCGCCCAACCCGAGGCTTTCCGATGCCTCAGGCCACTGCTACGGGTATGCCCCGAGTTCTGCTTTCTATCTGCCAGTTGTGATTGGAGCATAGGCGGTACGCAGCTTATAGTTTTCAATTGGCTCATATTTGGCCCAGATCCCGTGAGCGGCATCGAGATCCGCACCCTTGCCCCGGAGATTACCAGTACCACCTCAGGCAGAGATTGTGCAAGCCTGATCTGAGACTGGCAACAACCGGTGATGATAGCTTGCGGCCAGTCCAGTTCAGCTTTCCACGTCCTTTCCATGGAATCCCTTGCCTACTGCCGCTGAGAGACTGACAATTATGATCGACGGTCGGTCATCTCAATTTCTAGTCCAGGTCTAGGCCAGTCATTGGGTCTTCAAATCCTCGTCCTGCGAAACCGTGTCTTTGTAATATATATCCACCGGGCGATTTCCATCAGCTGGGCTCTCAAGAATTACCTGTCAAAGTACCCCGCGCAGCAATGTGTTCGAGAAGCAAATCGTAGAAATCCGATCGGTGATCGGAAATATTCCCCACGGATCTTGTTGACTAATATCTGGGCCCTGGCACTGACCAGCAACATGTTTCATGAGTAAACAGTGAGTGATAAATTACCAGCTCGTTGAGTTCTGAATCAGAGGTATACAGCAACATAGAACCCTTAGCATAACCCTGGCGAATTTGCATGGAGATTATGTTTCAAGAGGCTACCAGGATCTCTTGATTCGGAACTCGTATCTATTGAGACATTGGCAATGTTAGGATAGTACCCAGTAATCTAATCATAATTTACCACCTCAGGTGGTATAGTTATTGACACCATTTCGATGGTCAGTCAGCAGGACATGTGAAGATTCATCATGATGGGCCGGGGTTAGTGGCCGCTTCCCTATGTAAGTCGTTATGACAACCAATTACATCTTGTGAATTAGGTAGGTAACTTTGGTGACCTTGACGTAACATGAAATCGGAGGAAGTGACTCTCAAAAGTTATCCTCAGTACTAGGTAGCTCTCCAACCTCTTCACAAAACGAAGTTATCTCTTGCTACCTCCAACGAGGCCTGCCAGCCGCAAACAGCGCAACAAGGGCACCAAAATCAGGACCAGCTGGCGAACCGGGAACTCGGAAGGCACATGATCGTCGGGCCCTAAGCGGGCGCCCCCTTTTTTTTCCCAGTGGCCGAGGTTGCGCTAGTCTATTTTCAGCCGCAGCGGACGCGCCGGAGTCCAAAAAAGAAGACACGCTGAAGGATGGATGGATTCTCCTTGCGAACAGGCAGTCAAAAGAGATACCAAGTCCTCCTGCTGCTCCACCTTGTCCGTTCCCTCTTCATTTCTCTTCTTCCGTATTCTTCTTCCTTTACTTTCCCTCTTTCTTATCCTTTGAATCGCCGCGTTTTCTCTTAACTCCCCCCTCCTCTCATTCTCTTCCCTTTTTCTTACCCCATTCTCTGCTCGCACCTCCAACCGGCCTGTCAGCAGTTTTGGGAGAGGAAGAAGAAGAAATTCGAGGTCTTTCGCTCTCCGGGACCTTCTTCAATTCGTCCACACCCTCAAGTGATTAGGATCTTGGTCAATCGCTCACCATGGCCGCCGAACTTCTTCAGAGCCTGCCCAGGCCAACCATTGACCGGCCGTTTGGCATCCACCTATGGCCTATTTTCGACAAGGCCTTCGAGCTTGTTGTGGGATATCCCGCCAGCGATTTCCGCTTTGTTGAGGGCGTCACACCCATGTCTACCTTCAAGGAGACTGCTGTGATGCTTGTGGCTTACTATGTTATCATTTTTGGTGGTCGCGCGTTCATGAAGAACCGTCCTGCTTTCAAGCTCAACGCGCTGTTCATGATCCACAACTTCTACCTAACTGCGATCAGCGCAACACTCTTGGCCTTGTTTATCGAACAACTTCTTCCTACCATCTGGAGACACGGCATTTTCTACACTATCTGCACGCACGAGGGTGGACTTACACAGCCTCTGGTCGTTCTGTACTACGTGAGTTTCGCAACAGTTTCACATCAGGTGGCCGAAACTAACCCGCTCGTTCGCGCTTAGCTTAACTACCTGACCAAGTACCTTGAGCTTCTCGACACTGTCTTCCTCTTCCTCAAGAAGAAGCCGTTGACCTTCCTTCACACTTACCACCACGGTGCCACCGCTCTTCTCTGCTATACCCAGCTCATTGGCTTGACCGCTGTCCAGTGGGTGGTCATTGACATCAACCTCTTGGTTCACGTTGTTATGTACTGGTACTACTTCCAGAGCGCTCGTGGTATCCGTATCTGGTGGAAGGAGTGGATCACCCGCCTCCAGATTATTCAGTTCGTCATCGATCTTGGTAAGTCGCTGTCTCATAACCGATTTCCTGAAACCCAACTGACCGTCGTTTAGGATTTATCTACTTCGCCTCCTACACCTATTTCTCCTCGACCTACTTCCCCTGGGCTCCCAACATGGGCAAGTGCGCCGGAGAGGAATTCGCCGCTTTCTCCGGAATCGCCGTCATCACTTCTTACCTGTTCTTGTTCATCTCTTTCTACGTCGCTACCTACAACAAGGCTGCCAAGACTGGCCGTCCTCGTCGCAACACCGGCAGACAGGCTGTTATCGACATGGCCAAGTTCGAGGTCTCTGCTCCTTCCACTCCCAACGGACAGGCCAAGTCGAACGGTGCCGCTGTGTCCACCGGACGCTCCAACGGCCCTGTTACCCGCTCCCGCAAGGCCTAAGTGCACGAGTGGTGAGACGGTCTCAGGGGTACATATCTTCACTTCTTCGATGACCCGTTTGACAAATCGGCTTCGAAGCGCAGATTAGTTCTCCCTTCGCTTTCACAGTCAATCTTCGCGCATCGCCTTCGGCCGAGCATGAGCGAGCTAACAACCAACCATTTCTGAAGCCGGGTCCCATACTCGGAGGCCAACACTTACAACTATTTAATGAATGACCTTGATGATAATGGTCGTCTTTGCTTTTCGACCAGCTTATGCATGTGGCCTTGCCGCTTTGCAGAGGTGGTGCAGAGCTAATTCAGAGATATGTTCGCTTGGGAAAAGGCTTTTTACCCTTCTTCTTCTTGGAATCAGCCGAGCAAAGACCACGACTTGGCTATTTCAGCTTGTATTCTACATGCTTTATTTTGCTTGATCCCGTCGCCTTCGCTCCGCTGGCTGCGGAGTCTCGACATATGCCTTTTTTTGAATCGTCTATAAACGGGAGGTCAACATAAATGTAATCATGGTTATGTGTTTTTCTTGTCATTGCTCCTTACCTGTATATAATTGAATACCTTTCGGACTTCACTAATTTTGAAATGTGCAATTGGTTTTCATAAACTTCTGTTCTGTTTACCTTGCTGACTTTGGGCTTTTTATCCGGGATTCCAATTGTGTACCTTTTGAGGTCTGAAATGTGAGTATCAGCATGGAGCCTGTGGTTGCTGGTACCATCCAGAGCGAACTGTCTGGTACACGATGAATTTCTGGGGTCGAACGAAATACGCAACGAGTCCCGGCGTCAGCCCGAGGTGAGATAACGCTAGGGATTTACAGTCAGCAACAACCGTCCACTTTGCTGCCTGCCGTGCTACAATGCAACTGAGTTGTCGAGCTGCTGCCCCAAAGAGACAAAGTCTTTTCATTGCTTTTGTAGTCACAATCGACATGTGCGCAAGCATACGAGTTACTCCGAGCCGGGGAACCACAACTGACGTAGTGAGGTAGACGGTGAAAAGACCGAAAGTCTCTTGGCTCACACTACAATGAAGACGACTCCGGGAATTTTGAGCCTGGTAAGAAGTACTTGCTTTGTAGTGAATCGACGGAGAGCCTGTTGTAGGTTTGATGCTTCAGATTCGGATTTAGCGGACACTCTCAGAGACGAGGGTCTTTTTGGAGACCATGCACGTTGTTGTACTGTGCACGGTACAACCTGCCATGACCGTGTGCTATCACCTCACGTACTAATAGCATCGAAGACAATACCATGGTTCGTGAGATATCCATGTTTTACTCCGGTTCCTTCCCCGCTATGAACGATGATCGCCCGCGCTGCCGATAGTTCATGCAACGTGACGGCCATCAAGAGAAAATCGTCGCTCAGCTTAGGTTCCGAATGTTCAGCTGCAACTATGCCTTCATACCTAGCTATTGTTGACATACGATGATCGCCCAGCGAGCTTTAGGGAATTATCTACCGATAAGCATTGTGGCGTACGCGTCCTGCCCGGTGGGTTTATCTTTACCATGGCGCAATGCCGACGTTCATGGATTCATCCGAATCGTCCTGCCCAACTTCCTTCGCAATGTCACCATAGCTTGTCGATCAACGAAAAACAAACATCCCAAGATCTCCATGGTCAGCGTTCTGTAGCGTACTCGAACCAAGCATGATGTTAGATCATGAACTCCGATTCCTCTTTCTCGGCATTTAGTGAGAGAAATCTCAGGCGCAGATCCAAGCCCCTCCAAAGTGCTCCAGAAAGACATAAAAGGGCACCTGAATCCTCGAGTCGATTCTTCTCCAGAACACAAAAGCAACAGCGTGATTATCACTACTTCAACTCGTCGTCCCAGATACATCTTGCAACTCCAGCACCGCCTCAGTCACATCAGTCACGATGCGCTTCCTGTCTTGCGTCTCTGCTGCCCTCGTGGCCATTTTCGCGTCTGCCACCTATGCGGTCCCCATCAATGGTGGCGTCAACTGCACTCAGCTCGAACAGCAGATCGCCACTCTTCAGCAGGGGGTGAGCACGGCCAACGGTACCAACTCGGAAGGGGTCCAGGCTGCTCAGCAGCTTCTGTACGGTGCGAGACTCGTGCAGGCCACCGAGTGCACCAACCCTGCGCCGGCGAAGCGATTCTTCCCTGTGAGTATCCTCTTCTTCTGCGATGTCTGATGGTTTGCTAATAATGACATACAGCCTGTAAGTAACGCGGAACTTCAAAGTGAGACGTGGTGATGCATGCTGACCCAAGGTGCTACTCGAAGCCTACTGGTCCGGTGAGTTGTGCCTACGATCTCTGCAATCCAGAAGGGAAATACTAACTTTCGCAGATTGTGAGTTGAGCTCTTCTTATAGCTATCTACTGACCGTTTCTAAACATCGGACACCCAATCCTAACCAACGTACAGAATGTAAGTGCTTCATTCTTCTGAGTCAGTTTGGTTTGATATCGGATCGACTTGATGCTAAAGTCTACGTGAACCCAAAAGGGAACATCCTCACTACCTCCCATTCCCGGATTCAACGGTACTGTCCCACTTCATTAAGCAATGGTAAGTGTTGCCTCTTCAAACGTTTGATTTGACTCGTACTCACGGGACTTGATAGTCGGTAAGTTGAAGCATCCAGCCCTAGGAGCCTCCTGCTACTGGAACTTCTGCCTCGGACCTGTGATGCTGGTGAGTGCCTGCCCATCTGGAATCACATAATCCGTCAATAACATCAGGGTCAGATGTGCTGAAGAATGCCCGAACGACACCATTCGGGGGCCGGAGATTTCCTCGACGATGAAAGCTCCGACGATGGGTGAATCGAATGCGAAGGGCGGCGATATGGCCTTAGTATAGGTTTTTCTCCCTTTCGAGGTTTTCCTGTACTGTAAATGCGAATGCAGAGGCCTGAATCGGTTATGTTTTGTCGAGAATATGAATTATATATAAATTGCTTATCATGGTCTGTTCCTGTGCCGTACCCTTGTATCATCAATCTAGGATTGCTGGAAGTAGAGGCTTGACTAAGCAGTTCCTCTGTGAAGGAAGTTCCAATCCCTGCGCCGCAGAAGGACAGAGATTAATATTGCAATTATATCCCAGGAGAAGTAGTGCATGCCGGAAGTATAACCTCCTCTACCGGCGCCATCGCTATGAGCCTATCGCCAGCGATCAACTTGCATATCAGATGTTTGTACAGCGTCCAAGCTTAGATCATGTTGAAACACCATATTATTTCTGGCGCTACACCGGGGCAAATATCTCGATCCCGACGCAGCGGACGAATGGCTCAACCTCCCCATCCTCTGGGCCCGTCCGGTCTCATCCTCCGGCACTTTCATGGCTACACCGGCATCGTCGTTCTCTCGCCATTCACCACGGGTCTACAAGCGTGAGGAATATCCTTGTCAATTATCGGGACGTCGCGGGGTATGCTTAGCAGCGCGGCGAGCTCTGGTGCATATGTCCGCTCCCACCGCAAGTCCATTTCGCGCCGCTCGCCTATGCCGGGCCATGCGTCGCCCTGCTGAGCCCGCTCTTTCCCTATGCGGCTGTGCACTCAGCAGCGCAGTGGCCTTGCTACTGGTCAGTCGCGGGGTGGGTGTCATGTGATGGCGGAGTATAAACCCCCCCCCTCGTTTGCCTTCTTCCCTTTACACTACTCTGGAGAGGTGCTAGATGGTGATGGACGAACCTCGCCTCGAGCAATCCCCGTCTCGAGCAGCCCTCCTCTTGAGCAGCTACGGAGTGAAGCATGGCGCAGTCATGGCGAGATATCGCGAGGCGAGAGCAAGCTACTCGCCTGCTGTATCCGACCTTCACCGTGCGTCGGTCGTCGGAGATACGTACGTGTGCCGCGACGGCGATCGGTAGTTCTTCGTGTGGAATTGCTGGCCGTGGTAGGGTGCTATATATCAGTGGTATTCAAGACAAGGCATCTTCCTAGTGCTGTGACACCAACTAAGTCTCTGGTATTATCCTGAAGAAGCTTAGCATGTGTCTGACCGAAGATGTTTCGTCTTTTCCAGTCTTCATGCAGTATGCTGTTTCCAATTTCTCGTGCTATGCTTCATCCACAAGCATGTACAGTACAGAGGGGTCAAGCTGCGATGGGCATCACGGACAAAAGAAGGAAGTTGAACTCAAGGAGCGAGTTATTGACCAAGGACGGAATCAGCAAGAACAGTAGGCTGGATGGGAAGAAGACAAAGAGAAAACGGAAGGATGGAAAAGCCCAGCAGTGCAGTCGCAGGGGACCCAAACTAGGGAATTATATACTCCGTATCCTTCGGCAGATGCACCAGCAGCACGAGCCCGAAGATGACCAGGTTCCTTCAGCACTACACCAAGCTTTACTTCGCATAACTACGAATGGTCCAATTGAACCCTCTTCTCCCAACAAACCATACGAGTAACAAGCACCAACAGAAGTTGAAACATCGGTCATCTCGCTTACAAACACCCTTCGCCCCAACAACTACCGCAGGGGAAGTTGACATCTCTAGTGCCTGCTCCCACCAACTGCCGAACCCCTCCCGCCCTGAATCATGCACGCGGTCGTCTCCATCTCGATCCGAGAACAACCGCCGGGCCCTCCCACCTTCCCGTGGATCACCCATCACCCACCTTCCACATAGTCCCAACAAATCTCATCGATCGCTGCCGCTGTCTTGTTGCCTACCTAGTAGTTTACCGAGAATCCCAATACATCCACATTCCGCCCTGACTCGCGCATCTCGGTTGCAAGGGCTTCGGCTTGACTTACCGGGAACAACTCCTCACTACGAAATCCCGGACGGGCACTTACCTATCCAAGATCGATCGCTTTCCCGCTCCAACCAATCACCAGATGCGTCGACCGGAATGTGGCTTGCGGCAACTCTATTTTTTCAAAGCTGAAGGTTCAAAGGCTTTCCAATAGTCTTTTTGTCTAACAATAAGCGAGGTTCAGCCCATGTCCCTGAGATCTCGGTTAAATTGGTGAGCGGGCTAGAATGGTAAGGTATTATTGTTCCTACGCCGCAGTCATCTGTCCGTGCGTTCACTTTGTCTTACTGATTGTAAACGAGAGATCGAAAAGGTTTGCATACCGCGATGAATGCAGTATCCCGTGCATGGTCAACCTTTCCCTATTACAGAGCCTAGCTTATAGTAGACTGCATATAAGTTAGGCGTCTCCAGCATGGGCAGGGCAATTCTTCAGGAGTGCATACTGCATAGTGCAGTACTGCTCCGTACTGTACATAAATCGAATGCCAGTGAAACCTAAATTAAAAGATAGATGAGCGGCACATCCATTGTGCGGCGATCATAATCTAAAACAATTACTCTATCTCGCACAACGGGATCTCCGAAGGTCTTAGTTCTTTACCGGAAGCCCGGATTTGATGACCACTCCACACGAGTGTGCATCTGGTTACTCCGTACGCCGACAACTCTACATCCTGCTAGGTACATGCAAACGATGATGTCCCGAAAACACGATATCCAAACAACCTCCACCTACATCTCAAACCCAACCAGGCCCGATCGAGAGCAACCGATCCTATCATTGGAATCAAGCCTGCCCCTGCATCTGCATATTGAAAATCCTCGATCGAGGATTCCAGATATCAAACGCAGTGAGGTTGTACAATGCTGTACTGTACAAGCGGGGCTCAATCACACGAATCGGTACCGTCCAATCTTGCTGCAGATGCTGTAACAGAATGAAGGTGACACGCCCAGGAAAAAACATCCGGATCCGCATAAGTTGGCTGTTGCCTGTCCGCTGAACCGAATCGAAGTCTGTCGAATTTCTTTTCCGCACTTTACAAGTTTTCGGTCTCTTGTTCGAGTTGGTTGACGCTCCTGGTAGCCTGCCTCTCCACTGTAGAAGTATCTAAGCCATGGTGAGCTGAGACTCGATCTTCCAACACCAATCAAGTCAGTCAGAAGGCGGCTCGTACCGCGGGAAGATGTGAGATTGAATGCGGGAACATGTGGAGAGAGCTGAGGGAGCCCGAGGCAGATTCAGCTTTCCCCCCTCCACTCGATTGCCGGGTGAGCAGCTGCCGGGATCGCCGAGATGCATGTCCACCATCCATCTATCGATCAAATTTTCCATTGAACCTTGGATACGCAAGAGAAGGTCGGGTGTCATCGCTGCTATCAATCCCGATGCCCGTCCCGCTGGGACGGAAAAGCTTTTACCACATGTTAACGCCTACGTCTACATTGTACGACAGCACCAGGGAAGATTGTGTAACTATGTCCCAGTTGATTCTGAGATCCAATTGTGGCCCGCTCCAGGAAGGCCATCACATTCTGCCTGCCTATGAATACTTCGGTAATCAGAACAAAATAAGTAAAACGAGACAGGCGAGGAGGTTTTGAGATAGTACGGTAAGATCGCAATATCACAAGCATCCAGTGCGACAAGTCAAGAGAGCAAGAGTGAAAAGGAAAAGAAATGCCGCCCCAGGCAGTTGAAGTACAGACCAAAAACAAACCCCATGGAACCAGACGCTAAACCGATGAAGAACGCCAAAGGAGAGACGTGATGCAACAACAAAAAAAAGCCTTTTCCCCAAAACGTAGAAAGAAGAAGTAAAGATGAAACACTAGTCCGAGCAATTCTTTCCCGTGTTTGCTCCGCAGATTAAACATTATTTCTGGATGGTGGACTTTCTCCTGCCTCGTAACATGAATCCCATGAAACCAGAACTCGAACTCTTGGCGGCTGGTTCCGCACTGTCGGCCTTAGCGCTTCGGCTGTACCGAAAACTCTTCTTCCGCCGCGCAGCCTTGGCATCCGACGCTGCGGCTTCGCGTGGGTCCAAGCTGTAGACGCTCTCCACTTCCGATCGCAGACTGCTGGCTGAGTACACGCTAGACGCTGTCGAACTGTGCATAAGCGAGGCCGCCGCTGTTGGGGGCCGAAACCCTCGGCTGCCGGGCATGCTGGATGTGCTGTAGGTGGACCCCGAGCGGTGGCGGTTGAATGTGGGTGATGAGTAGTACGGTACAGGACTGGAAGTGCGGGACGACGGCAAGTTGTAATCGGAGCTAGCGAAGGAGTGAGAGAGCGACACAGATCGGCTGTGAGACTCATCGGCGGCATGATTAGATGTGTGGCGGGGAGGAAAGGGCGAATAGCCCCCATGGACGGTCTGCATGGACGGGGGTCGACGGAGAAGACTGCCTTTGGGTCCCCGGTTTGCTACATGCTCGGCAGAGGTCTTTGGTCGATTGAACGCCATGGACTGCGAGCGCATATTGGTTGGCTGGGGAGTTTCGGGCACGTCTGCCAAAGCTCGAGGAGCGACGAAAGGGTCGGTGTCCGCTCGCCGAGGATGCTGCCCCGCATAGCGGCCATGTAATTGCAGGCTACCACGCTTCAGATGGAAGGTGGAATCTAGTCGTTTCTCGCTCAGGAGCGGTTGCGATTTGATTGCCTGCTTGAGGGAGTACAGCCCTTTACCACTTGGGAAGCGGTCCGGTTCAGTCGTCGCTGAAATGGCTGACATGGGCTCGGGCTCCTCTACCACCGGACCATCGGTGACCGGGCTTATCAAGATCAGATTAGGCTTAGCAATGGGCTCGACAATGGTGACCTGCTCAGCCACGCAGACATCTGAGTCGTCGACAGAGTCGTCGACCGAGTAAACGGAACAAGGAGAAGAAGATCGTGAGCGACGCTGAGGTTGCAGCGATTGAGGAGGTTGATAAACAGTAGGTTGCAAGAAGACTGGAGACCGCAGTGGAGAGGTGCTGCCAGGCGATGGCAGCTCGATGATCACGTCGTCATCATCGTCAAACATGTAAGTCTCGGGCACAAACGTCGTACCGCTGCTGCGTTTCACAGTATCTAGCGAGACTGGCCGAGAGGTCTTGCCTGTGGTAGCATGACTTGACAATAAGCGGGCGAAGGCGGTCTGGTCTGGTGGTGATTGAGGGGAGTTGACGTTGGAAAC